TCAATCGTAGTGTTATTGTCATGGATAAAACTGAAATCCAATAATGTTTGTTAGAAAATGATGTTTATTTTGATTTTAGTTACAAAAAGCGCAACTTTTGGAATTCCTAAATTAATAACATACCAATTGAGAGCTGGAAAAATTCAGTACAGCACATTATAAACATTGAAGACTCTTACATTTCTACACAAAATTCTATTATAATTAATCCCAATTGTATATATTTAAAGTCATTGTTGTTTCTTAGAATAATTTAATAAAATTATACCTACCTAAATAAACAAAAAAAATTATATTACTACCAAAACCTTTGAGAGTCCATCCCTAATGTTCTGTCCTTTAATAGCTACCGGACTCGAGCTATATTGCCGTCGGCAGGTAACTTCCATAATTGCGGGCAAAAGGCAGCACGATGAATATTGGTATAGTGGATTGTGAAAAATGGAGTCTTTAAAAACTGAAATACGGAATTTATCAGAAACTATCCTTGCCATTTATCTAAACTTAGCAATATAGCCTTTAAGTGGTTTAATGCTGCCATTTACATTTTATTAGTCTCTCACGTTAAGGGACGAATTTATATTTATAATTTCCTGAGTATAAATGCATAAAGTTAGCTTCGCTAGACTTCGCTTATTTGCAAGTGCAGATTTAGCGCTAACCCAGTAACAATTCGTTGGTATCCATTTGATTGGGTTAAAAATGACTGTCTATATAAGGACAACGGTCTGGTAAAAAAGAAATCGGCGATAGCAGACACGCAAGTATTCCATCGACGAATCTTGCGCACGAATTTATTATTATTAACCCAAAAATACCAGCACCGTTCAGTACTTTCAATGAATTTTGCGTATAATTAATTTTAAATTATTTATAATAGGTGTACCGAATTCATCCGGCCTTAAACTCACATTATTTTAAAAATGAAAATCCAAACGTAAAGCCAATAAAGTTTGGTGAAGATTGGACGATATTAAATTCTAAAATTGCAAATGGTCGTTTTTGATAATGCATACATTTTTTGTTTAAATAGTTTATTTAGAATTATAAGTCTAATCCAAAGTTTTGCGTCTTATGATCCCCGAATATGGTTGTTTGGTGCGTTCTGGCATTTCTAGGCAGAAATAATCGTTCGAATGGCATTTCGTGACGTCAGTACTGTAACACATGGTCTGTTTTTTGTCGGACCATGCAGCCTTCGATGTCTATTCAAAATAGTTGAGAAATCCGCCGCAAACGTGCCTAGGAGGAGTAACTTTTCTTTTTATCGCAAAAGTAGATGAATTCCTTTTTTAGCCATAGACTCCTAGGCCAGACGTATTACCGTGCGTCATACCGCAGCGGCGTGCGTTGCGGGTACCTTCCTGTTTTCGATGTGCTTATTAGGCATTATTTAAACAATTTTGCAATTAATATCCTGAAGACGCTTAGTCTGATGAGCCCGCGTTGCTGACCAATAATAATTAATGTAACGCGTTCGATATTATTTGCGTAGTGGTAATTGATGTTTAGTCATACATGTCACAGTTAACTAATTATCAGAGGCGCATGCACAATTATGGCTGTTTTAACTGCTATTCGAGTCAACGGTAAAGCTCGGCCGCCTCTGATTCAGCAGCTTCGTCCGGATACCAGATGTTTCGGTCATCGCCATTTTCAGGGATTCTTCTGATTAACATCTGTCGCAGTTGATTTCGTTGGTTATAAAAATCAACGATGTATATGCGACCCGAATGAACATTAAATTATTCTAAAAGTGGTCGAGGTTCAAAAACGGATACAGCATTTTTTAAATAATCTGAAATACCTAAACAAGAAACCCGTTCTAATTTGTTGTTTTCGGATTGGCATATAGGTACTAGACATATAGAGGCCATGCTGATAGTACAGGAACTCATGAAGCAACTATGTAATTTTTTTTCACAAGGTCTATTCAACGTGCGCATGCGCGAGAATTAAAATTTCGTTTTTAACCAGTGGCAGCTCTAATGACAAATTCTGAGGTAGAACCCATAAGACTTGGCGGCTTTCAACGGCCGTATAGCAACTCAGTCAGTTTGATGGGGTGGTCGGGGGGTGACGCATGCGCAAAAGATCCATACCTCGGCGCAGCGTAGTAGAGACACTAGGGATTAGGTTGGATGTTGCAGCACCCTAGCATAGTCCTAGTCCTAGCATAGTAGAAAAAATCTACTCTACAACTGGTTGCTCAAAACCAGCAAAAAAAGCAACCATCATATTTATATTTCTGAGTTTTCTTCTTTGTCAAACAGCTAACTATAGCACCTAATTTTTTAATCGAAGGACTATAGAACATTACTATCACTTTTGTGTCAATAATTTTTGGGAAAAATTGCTATGATATCGCCATACAAGGTAGTAGTCAATATAGACCCGTAATTAAATGTTGACCTAAATTTTGAAGTATTTTCTTTCTAAACCGAGATTTAAAATTTTTTATCTGGTAATTTAATGGGATCTGGGAATATTTTTCTGCAAAAATTCTGCATAAAGCTGAAAACTGTCGAAATGAACTGTTGTACGTGGACAAGGCAATGCAAATCTTATTAGTTGAAAGTGATATTTGCAATAACAGGTTGTGGGCTGTAGTTAGTTACATTCGAAAAATCGATGAAACGAAATCTCGGTAACGGTAGGTCCTAGAGGTTGGTACAGAAATGATCAGCGTCAAAAAAAAAAAATTGTTTTGTCTGTCTGTCTTCCGTTCTCCGTTCCAGGGTTTTTCGACGATAACTTTCGAACGGTTTATGCTACACACACAATTTTGTTCTTTTTTAACAGTCCTCAGTGTGCATAAGATATGCAAAAATGGATGCGGTGAAGCTTCGAGGTCATCTTTTTTTTTTTTTTTTTCGGTTTTCGACTATTTTTTGGACATTCGCATGAAACACGAAAGTTATCGACTTCAAATTTGGCAGGCGAATAGCGTTTGGTCACCTAACGGAACCTATTGAAATTGGGAGGGTCGGGCAGTATTTAAAAAAAAATCGCGTTTTCCAGGGTCTGACAAAAAAATTATTTTTCGAAAACCGTTTATGCAACCAAAAAATTTCTTAAGTGAAAAGACGCACAAGATTTGGCTCCGTAAACTTTTATTCTTGATAATTTTTCAAGAATGTATAGGGTGGGCCGCATATTTAAAAAATCTGAAAAATGGGTGCTCCTAATAGGGACAATTGGCTATAACTAAAAAACTGTGTTTCAGATGTTAGTTTTTTTTACATAACGTTATAGTCCTTATAGATAGCTAAAACCTTTGTATTTATGGCTTTCACCTATTGTAAAGGGTATTTCCGATATTCCGTGCTATATAAGAAATGTGTTAAGTGTCCTAAATTTGTAGATATCGACTTCAAATTTATCAGGGAAGTAAAAGTCCATCCATGCCCACATGTAAACAGTGGAAATTAGGTGCAATCAAATTTCACCAAGTATTAAAAAAAATATATATATATGTATATATATATATATATATATATATATATATATATATATATATATATATATATATATATATATATATATATATATATATATATATATATATATATATATATATATATATATATATATATATATATATATATATATATATATATATATATAATTACCAGAAAAACATGCTTTTCTCCATAACCATTTACCGGATCGGCAAAATTCTTTAACCCGCAGACGCGGAAGATCCAGTGCAATTACATTTATTTTAGGTATTTTTTCGATTATATACAGGGTTTTCCAAGTATGTTTGTCCGTTCTCCGTTCTTATCTTTTGGTTTTTCCTGAATAACTTTCGAACTTTTGGAGCTACAAAATGAAAATGTGCCTCCTTTTTAACCACCCACGAGGCACATAAGCTTATAAGAAATGGCCCTGATCCGACGCCGGTATCCATCTTTTTTTCGCGATTTTCGACTGTTTTTGGACCTTGCTATGAAACACTATGAGTATCCGAAATTTCAGACAATCGACTTCATATTTGGCACATATTGGCTGCGGGATCGGGAAGTATTCTAAAAAAATCAAAAATCACGTGGGCAAGGATCTACAAAAAACATCATTTTTCAAAAACTGTTTACGAGACCAAAAAAATTCTTGAAGCAGAAAATACGGCTCTATAAATTTTTATTCTTGATAATTTTTCAAAAATATACATTGTGCGCAGCAAAAAAAAAACTGAAAAATGTGTCCCCAAATTATTGAAAATTGGTTATAACTGAAAGACTATGATTCAGATCTCATTTTCTTTTATATTGCGATATAGCCCGCCTAGACAGCAAAAAGTTTTGTATTTAAGGTTTTCACCTATTGTGCAGGGTGTTCCCGATATACCGTGCTAAATCAGAAATGTGGGTCCTAAATTTTGCAGATATCAACTTCAAATTTAGTATAGAAGTAAAATTCCGTGTCCACATTTACATGGTAGAAATTGGGTGCAATTAAATTTTACCAAGAATTTTTTTTTAATTTTTGCAAAAATTTTTTTGGAAATTTTAGTTGCTAGAAAAATATGTTTTCCTAAATAATCTTTCACCCGATCGGCAAAATTCTTTAACCAGCAGACGCGGAAGATCCAGTGCAATAACATTTATTTCAGTCACTTTTTCGATTATATACAGGGTTTTCAAATTATAGGCAATTATGGGTATATATATCATCTGAAACCACGAAGCGTTTTTTTTTTTAATAAAAAGCTGCTACGCGCCACGAACTACGAACTTACCCTGCCCAGCCACCATTTTTCGAAAGCAATCTTGTATATAGCGACACGAGGGTCACTAATCTTGTCCGATAACTCTTGATAGAGTATGGTGACATTATACACCAATTGATCTTATCGTAGTTCTCCGTTCTTCTTGTGGTGCTAGTGAAGCTTTTGCGGTAAATGATGTTTTGAAGTAGCGAGTTAGATAAGCCGATGAACTTATTGATTTTTTTTAAGCAAGTGGATTATCGGACTAATATTTTAAGTTATTTTTCAGATGTCGTGCCCGGTTCCCGTTGCACCCGCCCCCCCAGCGCTCAAGGACCTCCCGAAAGTAGCCGGGGACCTGAAAAGCGAACTGGAAGGGTTCAAGGCCAGCAAACTTAAAAACGCCGACACCCAAGAGAAAATAGTCCTGCCCTCAGCAGAAGGTAAATACTTTTCCCACATTGTTGTGGCGAGGGCGGGAGAGGAGGCGAGATGTTTCGCCCTCCGAGTGATAAATAGGCTTCGAATGACAGTGGCCAGCTGTTACCACGGGGAAAAATTCCTTGGAACGTCAGTTTAAATTTGGACGAAAAACAAATACTGCAAGCGAATGCGTACGGGGCGGAGTTGGGGGGGGGGGGGGGGGAGTTGGTCTCTCCGATGTTCTTTTGTCTCTGTTCGTCTGCTGCCGCGTCGGAATCTGGCGTTTATTAAATTGATCGTCGGGAACATGCGGCGGCGGTCGTTGAAATGTTTTCGAAGGGGTGTAAAGTTTGGTTTCCGATAACGTACGAGTTGACAAGTTGTTAAAGGTAACATTAACGCCTATCGACCGTTTTTATTTTGCGATAAAAGTTAAAAAATCTGGCAACGCTTTTATAAAGACAGGGTTGAAACCGGTCTTGGCGTTAATTACTTTTACTTGGCGTTTTGTAAAAGTTTCTTATTTTTTTGTTATTTATTTCAAAAATATATGTTTCCGATGAAATTCCCAAAATCTTATCTTTTTAAAAATGCGTTATCGCGGACAGTATCTTATATGACTTTATATATGCCCTTTATTTAACTTTAACTTAACTTTTAGTCATTGTTACGGAACTTGTCAATTTATAGCGATTCTAATAATAATTATATGTTTATTTGCCCTTTTGTAGTTACGTTTATCTAATAGCAATAAATTTCCTAAACTGGCAAATCATATATACTGTACAATAATAATATACAAATACTATACAAAATATTAGTATCAGAAATTTATTTCTGTTAATTTAATTATCTGTAATAATTATTTGTAAAAGACTGATAGAAAAAAAAATAGACACAGTAGGAAAATGGTCTTTCAAACAATTCTTTTCAATGGTAGGTTAGATTTTTTAAGAAAATTTGAAACACCGGATTTTTTTTGCCACACCACAAATCCTCACAGGCAGACTTGTACCAAAACAATTCAGAAATCCGTCAAATATCAAAAATGTTCCGAAGTTCGAAAGTCGGAAGGAAATATGGAAATAAAAGTTAATTTCCTTAGTTACAATTAGATGCTGCAAACAAAAATCAGTAATAATAGTAGTAATCAGTTTGGAGTACGTTTGATCCACAGCATTGTATTCTGCTTTAGATGTAGCGCAAGAAAAAACTCACAACGCCCTAATAGCGGGAGTAGAAAATTTCAAAAGTTCGTCGTTAAAACGGGCGGATACCAAAGAAAAAATCGTTCTTCCCAGTGCCGAAGGTAAAAAGCTGACGGCAGTGCAGACGTGTAACCCAGCCTTAAAACGCTTGCTCATCGCTAATAATAAGCTTATTACTTATAATCGAATTAACAGCGTTTTGTTGGTATTAATTGAAATTGGTCAGGAATCCCTCATAATCAAACAAAATCGACTAACAACAGATAACCATAAAAAAAAATTTTTTTGACGTAGGCTAACCGTTAATTAACAAAATGTCGGGTTTGGCATTACTCAACCATGACTTATCAGAGCCATATATTCCCTATCGCTCCCTGTACGAGTGATAAAAGCGAACTCTAACACAAAGTAAACAGTAAAAACATATTATTTTTAGGTCTGACTGGGTGTTTCTAAACGGCACGTATTCATTTATCGGTGATAAATGCCGGTTTGAAACGAATTACTTGACATACATTAATTTTAAAGTAATACATTGTTGTGTCGGCGTCTAAAACATTTTTGTGTTTTAATTATTATCAAGCTGCCACATTTTCGTTTGTGATTTGCTTCAGTATGTTCACTTTTCCACCAGATACGAAACATTGCAATTTCCAACTAGCTATGAAACTGTCAATTGAGACGTTTAAATTTATTTTTAAATATAAAAATAGTTATGCCAAATCTCATTAAAAGTGCAAGATAAGTTGCAGCTAATAACTAAAACTAAATAATATTTACAATCATTATTTTACTATTGAATAAATCGATGATTTTGTCGGTAAGTGGTTTGGTAACATAGTGACGTCAAGACTGTTTAAAAACTAAATGCCGCATTTAAACTTTTTCGTGGTAATTGCAGACGTTGCGGCAGAGAAAACAGAAAAGGCCCTTATTGAAGGCATTACCAAATTCGACACTAGTAAATTGAAACACACCGAGACACAGGAAAAGAATCCTCTACCCGACAAAGAAGGTAAATTGTCTTTTGGTTTGTTTGTTTGTTTACGCATGTGATTTTGTTTGCATCGTTTTTTTTTGTGTTAATAACTTACGTTTGGCATTTGCATGATTCTCTTCAGTTGTGTTGCAAGAGAAAACTCACCAAAATCTTCTTAGCGGTGTCGAGCACTTTGACAAATCGACCATGAAGCATGCCGAAACGACCGAAAAGATTGTCTTGCCGAATCCTCAAGGTACCTATGCAACTAGCTTCGCTGCTTTGATATTTCCGAATCGCGCGGGTAACCCGTTTAGCTTCACCACACTTTTTTTTTCAGTTATTGAGCAAGAAAAAGTACAAACCAATCTGATGTCGGGTATCGAAAACTTTGATAGCAGCAAACTGAAACACGCCGAAACGCAAGAGAAAAATCCACTGCCCACTAAAGAAACGATTGACCAAGAGAAGAGCGCTTAAATTCAGGCTGTGGAAGAATGAGGCTCAATTCTTATTGCCAACTTTTGTAATTTTTTTACTTTTATATATTTGATACAAGTATTTATTATGTAAGATATATCAATATGGATATTTACGACATTATCAAAATATACTTTTTATTTATCACGAAAACTTCTTAATCGCGTTAACTCAATTGAGGGTGTTCACGATATAGGAAATTCTGATTGAGCTGATATTCATTCAGGGCTTGAAAGTTTTCGTTATGAATTGAAAAGTTTTGAAAGACAGTGTTTTCTACTCCAAGGCTTCTTTCTGTACTTTCAATTTTGAATTTGTATCCAATTTTATATTTTCACATATTCGGAAAATTTATTTGCGTGAATATATGGTGCTTAATAAAATTATATAATACAAAGCAGTTTTTATTCAATAGGATAAATTAAAACATTTGCACTCTTGTTGGCACTTTAAACCCGGTAAACCCGATACAATTTCTACATGTATTTAACCTCTGTGAAAAATGTAAAGAAAATAGAAATCACGAAAGGATGATTCTTAAACGTGTAAATAAAACTATTGGATACTACAATTATCCTACAACTGGAAAAATTTATTTTTTTTAGTATTTGGATTATGGATTGCCCTCATACACCCTCAAATTTGTAATATGCGTGGTAAAAAGAATTTAGCATAAAATTCATTTTATCAAAACAAAAACATTTAACCTTTAAATGCATAATTCCAACAAAATAAGCCAGCCGATTTTGCTGAAAAAAATGGCATCGTGTCTAGCATCAAAAAATTACCAATTAATACATTAATTTTTATCTGTTAGAAATGCCGGCAGAAATACATGTAGAAATTGCATCCTGTGTACCGGGCTTTAGAAAAGTCATCTAAACCTAGGACGCAGGAAGTGTTGCTTGTCTACTTTTGTCTATGCTTTGCCCCTACCATAATAGATTCTGTGAGGAGGCGGCAAATCTGAAAGGAATAATTGGGCATAGTTTTAAAAGCAAGAGCTATTACCAGGAAAAAGCCATCAGAGTGGTGTTTATAAAACGTTTTTGATACCCGAACTTTAAGGATCCGTAAAACAATGTGAGTATTGTGCATCAAATCATTTCTATTCTCTCTTGCGAGTGCGGCATTTATTTGTACCTTTTAATTTTTTTTTGCTATATTTTTTTCTGTATCAAACGCGCCGCCGAAAACAAGTTTCGCGGCTGAACGTTGCACGTGTGTATTTTAAAAATTGGTTATTTTCAACGAGTTAGGACGGTAAGAACTGTACATTAATAATGAGTATTAATTATTGTTCTTTAATTTTGGGAAAAATATAGTTTGTTCTTCGAAAAGCTTAATTTAAAGGATGATCTAAAATTTAAAGTTACAGCGTTCAAGAATTTTTGTCTTGTGTCCCACTTTAGGGTAAAGAGACATCTCCGTGTCCCCCGAAATATGTCTGCAAAGCTATCGAAAAAAGGCCGCAATCCAGGAATGGTGGATAATTGGTTGGATGAGTTGGGATTTTATAGAAAAAATGTTGCCTACGATGAAACGTGTTTTTTCCGTGCCGTTAGTGAACAAGTATTTAACTCGCTGATTTTATATCTGTAAAATTGAGCTCCTTGGGCTTTTAGATATTTCATTGCCAAATTTTTCATGAAAAGGTCCGAAAGCAATGTATCGAATATGGTAGAAAGAATTATCTAAAATTTAGTGATCTGATGGAATCAGAACAGGCTTGGGACAATCATTTGGATATGTTGGAAAAGCATATGGTAGTTTGTGGAAACATAGAAATTCATATAATAAGTAAAATGTTTGAGTAAGTTTAATGATGATTGAGTTTTTCGTACTTTAGTAGTTTAATTCCAGGCGGGATGTAATGTTATTCCATGCACAGCAACAAAACGTCTACAATGTTACCAAACAAAATATTGCTAACTTACCCCTTATGTTGTGTTTAATGGATGATGATCATTATGATGCTGTATACAGGAAAGAGCATATCTCAAATACTGGCTTTTGCCAATGTAAATTATCAGTGTTTCTTGATATTTCAGTTTGTTATACTTTTTATTGCAGCTATTGTTTATAAGATATTGTATCAGGAGGTGTTCAAAATACCAAACATTGATGATATTGTTGGTGGTATGTTATATGAAAAAGCGCCGGTAATCAATCAACTTGAGCTGGAGGAAAGGAAAATCCCCAAGGAAGAGGAGAAGAGGTTGGAAGAAGGGGGCATTGTCATCGCCCCCTTTCCATTCAAAGTGGCTAAAGCTTTGGACCCAACCATTTACCGAAACATTGAGTATGATTCGTGGGGTGAAGTGCGTAGAGGTAATACAACATAATTTTGAGATTTTCTTTGTGCTGTAAGAAATCTTTGCAGAACTTCGCCTGGGAGATTGGTATTATGGTGATGATAAGCTCAAGCTTGGTACTAGGTGTATTTTACAAGATGACATGTTGGATGAATCCTTCGACTGTTACATACAAGAAATAACAAAGGATAAAAATAAATGTGTTGTCTACCTGACCAAGTTGGCAGAAAAAAGACTGGTTAATTATTCAGATTTGTCTCCCGAAAATGATGCCAAGCCCTGGCCTCTTCCTTACAGATTCTCCAAAAATGTTATAATTGCCGAACAAGCAGTCCCACAGCTACCTCCCATGGACAAAGTGAGAAGCATGCGGAAGAAAAACAAGGAGAAGAGGCAAACAAAAAATTCAAATAATTCTGTAGAAAATGCCAACCCTTATCTAGGCGTTCCTCTAGTAAGTGGATAAAATTTTGTTGATTTAAAATGTTTTTAGCAAACAACTGTTTTAGCAAATGCAAAGTCCCGGCAAAGTCGAAGTGGCTACTGATACGACAGGACTCTCAGTTCCATCCCCGGACAGAATTGTATCACCAGTCACTCCAGAGGTTAACAATTACCCCCAAAGGTATTTACAGTCGAAAGAGAAGAAGAAAAATGTTTTTTCTTCTCAGAAATTTTCAAAGTTGAATTTTTCTTTTTTCTTTGAGTTCAGGTAGTGCTGCTCCTTGCTTATTTTTGTTTTGTTTATTTTTTTTTTACTTTTCTGAATGTAAGTAATATTTATATATATAAATAATATATATATATATATATATATATATATATATATATATATATATATATATATATATATATATATATATATATATATATATATATATATATAATATTTTATGTTTTTTAGGTGTTTAAATATATAATCATTTTTTTAATTTTATTTTCTTTCTGATCTCTTTAAATATGAACGAAACCTTTTTCCATCTTTTTTCTGTGAATGTAAGTAATCATTTGAAATATTTGACTTTAATTGTAAAAAATTTCTTTATTTCTTTGAATTTGGATAACATTTTTCTCCTTTCCTGAAGTTCAGGTAAATTTTTTTCTATATTCCCTTCTCAATGTAGACAAACATTTTTATTTCTCTTTGAATTTCGATTAAACATTTTTCCTCTTTAAAAAACATATGTTTCTCATTATTTTCGAATATAGGTACCAGTGGGAGCCGGTGCATTGGTCAAACGCTGCTTATTTGACACCTGAAGTGCCTTACTACCCCGCTACCCCGGAGTCGTTTATTTCGTCTCACAACGTATTCAATTTTGATGTTAAGCCCGTGACTTCTTCCGCTGCGGTCACTTCCAACGCGATCCCATGTCACGGTACAACATTACGAATTATTTTTCCAGCAAACTGTGCACAGGATTCATTTTAGATCCCAACTATCCATACTGTCTTAACTATTTCGCCGATTCTCACAATTCGTTTTTGCAAAATGAACCAGTTCTTCTGAACGATGAAGTGTTATCGAAGCAGCAACAGCCCCACGACAGGTACATCACGGCGTTGGGGCCTCAGACGCCACAGCCAGTCGAAATATATTCGCCGATGGTGCTGCCATCTGGCGCGATCGTTTACACTCCACTACCGTCGGATATAGAGGTCATGCCATCCTCGCCTTTGCTGTACACTCCGCCGATTGACGTACAGTACATCGCTCCACCCAATTACGTATACACGCCGCCGCAAAGCGCGCAATGGTACCACACCCCGCCTCCTTCCGCATTCCCATGCAACTCGAGCGGATTCATTTTTCCTCAGCCCCAAAATTAGGAACGTTTTTGTGTAGGCGTTTCTTTTTTTGTCTTTCCTGTCGTTCGGTTTTTGTTTAACATTAAGTTTAGAACGTGTTCCTTTGTACCAACTACTTTTTAAGAGTATAAAAACGTTACACCAGCTACTTTATAAATAGAGTAAAACTAATATGTTGCCAACTACTTTATTGTGCGTTGGGAAGGGTATTTGTTAAGTTTAATTGTAATAAGCTTCAAAAGCAATTTATTAAGTATATCATGATTGTGATTGTAATAACAGGGCTTCACTTTTTATTCCCTGCAATGTTCTTTTTTTACCAAATATTTACAGTTGCTTTATACCCAAGGAAACTATTTTTGAGTTGTAACACTTGTGTTATCTTTAAGAGTTAATTTTTTATTTTTTTGTAATTTTTTATAATAAAACTTATCTGCAAAACGTTTATTTGTGGGTATTTTGTTATGTCTTGGAATTCACTGAGTTTCTAAAAAGTTGCAAGTATCTTTGAAGATTGATATTAACTAGGTAAGTATTTTTTTTAAATATTTATCACGCGGAAATTCATAACTTTTTTGGTTTCATTATTATTTTGTTATTCTCAATTGTTTAAGTAATCATTGACATAGAAATTATTTTGGCGATCCGAACACATTTGTTAGTTTTTGTGCGTCATTTTGGTATAAACTATTTTTTCCTCAGGTTACTTGTAGAAAATTGAGTTCTTGACAAAAGCGTTTAAGATATGATTTTTTACTGTTAAACTTCAGAATTCCTTCTGCGAGGGTTGTTGAATCGAGCTTGCTGATGTTTCGTGCATCATTCTGTTGACTTCTTCAGAGCTTAACCGAAACTATCTCGTATTCTACTCGGCACCTGCTTATATATTCTTTGAGGGGACGGAGCTATAGTAGGGGTGTCGATACTTTTGTTTTAGCCTCATACTCAAGAATCTCTACCATTGAATTAGGAACTAATAATAATATAACTAAATAAAAATATTAACTAGATTCAAAGAATATGAAAGGGCCTTAAGGCTAAGAGAAATACACTCATCAGCAGTTGCTGAACACAATCACGAAACTGGACAAAATTTTATTCAAAAACTTAAATTCTTGCATGTAATCAATTCCTCTACAGAAGATCTATAGACATTTACAACCAACCAAATAAGCTTAACCGCGACTCAGGTCTTTACCTGTCACCAATATAGGAATCATTCATCCGAGATAATGTTTATGCCCCTCATTAAGCTCCGCCCCCCTAAAATAATATATAAACAGGTACATAGTAGAATACGAACCAGTTTTATTTAAGCTCTGAAGAAGTCAACAGGATGATTAGCAAAACGTCAGCAACTTCGATTAAATAACAACGGACCCAGGAGGAGTCTCGAAGTTTTGTTAATATTATTACAGTTTTTTTGAAAAAAAAATTTAGAGTACAAAACTAATTGTTTTATTGTCCTGGCCCAATTAAAGTCTTGACCTCCCTGTAAAATATTAAAATATAAAAAAAACACCATTACTATGAAATAGCCCTAAACGTTTATTAAATTAGTCTATAATTAGTGCTTCAAATTGATACAAAACGTAAGCGGCGTATATAGCAAAATGGATAAGGCGTATTATTTAAGATTCGTCGTCGCTGCCGGCAGCTTGGCGGGGCTTCGGGCCACCCGCCCTTTTTGCCATAATGATCTGGTCCACGCGAAGCACCGTCGCTGCCGCGTTTACGGCGTATTTAAGACCCCAGTGCTTGGCTTGGTACAGATCCAAGATGTTTCTTTCGACGGCGTCGCAGATGGCGTTCTCTGTCTCGATATCCACGCCCGCGTTTTTGTTGCCATTCTACCATAATTCACGTTAAACCACTAATTTATGATTTGCTTTAACAGTATTTTTAATCTAACATTTTGTCAACCTTGGCTAATCAAAGTAAAAAAAATGTTTTTTTTTTAAATGTCAACTTAGGTTGCTTAAATGACCTTTATAACTAACCAAAACTCCACTTAAATTGAAATTACGCAATTGATAACTTACCTGATGTGCATCTAAAATCTTCTCCAAAACGTTTTGATATCTGAGTCCGCTATTATCGGCCAACGCTTTGGGAAAAGTTTCGAGTGCAGTGGCGAACTTCCTTACCGCATATTGCTCTAGGCCTGGCAACGTGTCTGCGTATTTAAGAAGCTGCACCGCCAGTTCAGCTTCGGTCGCTCCCGCGCCAGCAACAAATCTAGGATCTCGCGTTAGACCCTTCGAACCACAATATTTTAATTAAAAAAAAAAAACGAGCTAGAAAATAATAATAATAATAAATAACCTATATTAAAATACAACAAAAAGAATACACCACCATAGAGTTGAACAGGTGGCGAGGTCTAGCAGCGCTACTCCACTGAACCATCGATACTATGTAGCACAATATTCAGAATTTAACAAGAAAAAAAACTAACAAATATAAATAAGTCCCTTCTACAATTTTATACAAATCAAAGGGAGATAAATGTAAAAAAAAAAATTGACGCCGGAAAAAAGCAAGGACAATAATCAAAAACGACTAAAAAGAAAATATAATAAAACAAATAAATAAGAGGTTCAGCCTACCCTTAATCTCACCAGCTCTTTTAATTTGTTTTTAAATGTAGATGTAGATGAACAAGCAATCGCTAATAGCAGTACCTTAAAAGTGTTGACCCCATCGTCGATAGCACGTTCGATGTCGTCCATATAATTGTCAGTGGCGCCCCTCACCACTATCGTCGCTATGCGTGATTCTTTGCTTTCAAGCTTAAAGACCACGATGGGTGTGTCTCCTAATTCCTCCAAACAAACAATGTCGCAGTAGCCCAGTTCTTGGGCTGTCGGAGCAATAAGGCGAGGTAGTACAGTGGCATCAACCTTAAAGATAAGTTGAACCGAGGCGCCTTTTACTTGATGAATGTCCATTTAACATAATTCAATTAGAACAAAAAATGTTCAGATTTTCACAGTTATTTATTATTCTATGGCAGCTGTTTCAACAGCACCCTGCCTTTATCAAGTACAAAATATGACAATATTCTGACATTTATATATATAATAAGTAGTAAGTAGTAGAAATAGATTCTTAATTACTGGTGTAGGTTGACCAAAATAACAACAGAAGACAGTCATAGCTATTGATTCTCTAGAATATATTTCAAAAACCAGACATATGTCAAAGTATAAGATATGATCCCGCTATATATACCAAAAACAAATCAAAGCGGTAATTACAGATACATCACTTTTTAATGACAGTGAAAAATACCAACTAATAATTATATATTTTAATTATATTATTTAATTAACTTACACAAACAGGACCATCAGTTAATGCTGCCTTTAAACTTGGATATGTTATCAAAAATTCCTTCGAACTAATCAACAAGGTTAAAGACATTAAAATCCCTCCTAAGGCTATTCTAGTTTCCATTGACAATAGACAATATGCCTACTCAGAGATAAGTCTACTCTATCATAAAACAAGACTTGCTAGATAGCTTAATAGTTTGTTTAGACCAAAATTATTTTGAACTTAATGATCAATGTTGTAATGCCAAAGAAGGATTAATTATGGGAAAACCAATTAGTCCACTACTTGCAGAAATGTTCATGGACAATTTGGAAAATATCATACAGAAACATCTTCTGAGTAAAAGATTTATTTGGTAATATAGATAAGTAGATAATGTTTTTGCTTGTTTCTCTGGAACGGAAAGACAATTGCAGTCCTTTTTGAATCATATTAACACCATACATAAGTGTATAAAATTTACCATAGAGACGGAACTGGATAACTCTTTAAATGTTCTGCACTTAACTATAACTAAATTACAGAACAAATTAGATAGAGTAATTCATAACTCATATAATAACTCAAATCATCCTCATACAAAAAAATGAAAAACACAAAAGTCTGGAATCTACAAGTTGAAATATGGTTCATGTCCCAAAATTTATATCAGACACACTGCTAGAACATTTAAGAAACGCATTAACGAACATAAAAGACCCTATAAAAATAAAAGTTCGGATTCTAACTATGCCATTGATTTAAATTCAGGAATACACAAGTTTCACGATAATTTTGATATTTTACATAATGAAACAAAACAAGACAAAATTAAAACTAAATTTGTTGGAAGCTATGGAGATTCATAAAAGGAGATATTCGAATCTATTACTTAATGACCAATTGGATTTAAAGTGTCTCCCTTGTTAAATTTAAATTTACAACCCTACACCGGTAATTAAGAATCTGTTACTACCTGATAGTATATATAGATGTCTGAATATTCATATTTTGTATGTGATAAAGGCAAGGTGTTGTGGAAACAACTATCATAAAGTAATCAATAACTGAAAATATAAACATTTTTGTAGTAATTTAATTGTCTTAAAGATAAGTTATAAGAAAAGGGGGGAATGCACTAATCCTGCAGTTTATGCAATTAATAGTTAGAGTCATAGATACCAAAAGTTGTCATTTATCAATTCTAAAATTGTATTAAATTTAATCTTTACTTATTTTTAATAATTTTTGTGTTAAATTTAAAAATTTGATTTTTGTTTATGTCTTGCTGATAGTCAGCTATAATATATATATTCTACTGTCATAAGTTATACTGTTCTTATGAAGCGCCAAAAACTGTATCTAAAATAAACACATTGCTTTGGCATAATATCATGTTGCTATTGCTGTTACCTTGTTACAATAATGAATTATATTAATGAAATTTGATTTCTTTTTCGATCCTATATTCCATATGGCTTCAGTTCAAAAGTGAAATGGAAAAACTAAGGGGATGTGAATTTTATTACTGCACATTTTGCAATTATTGTGAAATTTCATTGGATTATAGGTGTAGGAGTTTTCCATTAAACATGAAGGGGTAACTTCATATAACCACAACTTTGTTATTTTGTATACTTGTATACCAGTTTGACAACACTGTGCAGCTGGATGTTATTTAATGATTCAGTTAAAAAAGAAATACTTACAGTTTTGCTTAATCTTCTTAAATCAAATTTGGAATTCAGTTGAATTGCCATCAAACCATATTTATGTATGAAATGAAGAGCCATATCTCCAAATTTAGCACCCGCAACAATAACTTTTGCCCCTGTATCCGCGATAGCTTTAATTTGCAATTCCAAAAGGTTTTCTTCACCCCGACTGAAGTTCATTAACTCATCAGCTGATTTAATCAACACAGTACCTAAAACCCACAACGAAATAAGCAAATTTTTAAAAATACTCAATGTGATCAGCAACCTTTGGTTTCAGTCTGCAAGGTATCAACTGGACAACTATAAACAACAATTTTGGCTTTTTCAGCTTTGGTAATTTCTCCTTGCACTTGTCTCTTAAATACCATACCCTGGACTATTTGGGAGCTGTGCAAGCCAGATCCCAGAACTTTGCAAACTCTCACATTGTCAACATTAAAGGTTGTCTTTTCTGGCAAAATGGAAATGCAAGCCTTGGCAACCAATTCACCAATAAAGTCTTCATTGCCATATTGTTTTGACATAATTGATGATTTTATGCATTTTGTTACTTCACTCAGGTTGCGGCTGTCCTTCACCTTATAGCATTCCAACTTGGGAAGAATTTCTAAACACTTGTCTAAAGCTTTCTCATAACCTTCGGCAATTTCAGTAGGTGTGACTCCTAATCTGATTAATTCTTCAGAGCATTCTAAAATACATGACATTTTGTAAATCCATAGAACCAACATTACCAATTCAATACCTAAAAGTGCCCCTGCCAAAATAATAACCAAATTAGTTCCATCACCAACTTCGGCGTCTTGCATTTCGCTGGCGAGTATCATCAATTTAGCAGCGGGATGCTCCACATCTAATTCGCGTATAATAGTAGCAGCATCACTAGTGACGAACTGTTTTTCAATGTGGTTAATGACCATTTTGTTCATGCCATTAGGTCCGTAAGCCGTTTTAACAGACTGAGCGAACTCCTTACACGCTTTTATGTTTCTAACAACAGCTTCTTCCAGTCCAGAATAATACTAAAATTGGGAAGCCGCGAAATATACACCTCATGACAATGAACACATGTCAATTTCTATGAGTTTTTCGCTAAGACTACTTACCCTAGCACCATCCTTTAACATTTGGGCAAAGCCCGGGGCTTTAGGGACGTGAAGAGCCATTTTAATTTCTTCGTAATATAGCAAAAATTAAATTTTTCTTCAAATGAACGATACGCACCCAACAATACTACAACCTCAAAAAATGTTGGCACAGAATAATGAAGTGAATCATATTTCTCAAAGATAAGTTAAAGCTTGTAACTATGTTCCACAACGAACCACAGAATAATTCTTAATTTCGATCATAACGTAGATAGGTAATTCCCTTAAGCCCGAGGCTTTAGGGACGTGAAGATCCAATTTTTATTCAAAGAACGAAACGTACCCAACACCACAATCTCAAAAAATGTTTCCACAGAATAGAGAAGTGAATCATATTTGTCACAGATAAATTAGAATGCAACTTTGTACAATAACGAACATCAGAATACCAAATCAAGAATTTTTGCTTTAACGAAAAATTTGTAAATTTCGATCTTAAAGTGGGTAGGTGGTACAAGTGCTGAGTTTATTTAATTATTTTAAACGGGATAGGTACGGTAGAAGGCTAGGAATAATCCAGAAACTATGAGGAAATAAATATATGTATATATTTAATGTATACACCTACAAATATTAAAAATAATATTGAGGAAAACTGAAGTTAAACATTTTCATCCTTTTTGGCCTCGAGTTCTTGTCGAGTTCTGACGCATACTGAAATCAATGAATATGGTATAAAACTTAATACCCAATTGTTTTCTCAAACCAACCCCTTTTAGATGGTTCCCAGCCCACGGTTACATTGTTCCGTGCGTTCTCCTCCTCGAGCCACTCTTGCAGAGGTTTGAAATACTCCAAGAGGCCGCTAGCGTCCATGGACCGTTGACCGGTGATCACTTCCATGGCATCGGGCCACGGTTTTGACGACCCCATCGACAACATTTGCCTGCGAACGAGAATTTTTTCCTCTCAAATTTGATATATCTACTCGAACGCAACTTTTCCTACTTAAGCGCATTTCCAGCGTTTTCGTTTCCGTAAATGTCGCATTCGTGAAGTGGCGTTTCCGGGTTATTTTTCTCATATTGGCCGGCCTTCTCGCACAAAGCTCTGTGGAACTGGAACTGAATCACGAAACTGATAAAGTACCTGAAAGGGAAATGGAGTTGGTTATCTGTATATTTGGAGAATGTGTTGGGATCATGTAAATGTAAAAGGTAAAATGTAATCAATCTCGGAAAATTTTAAGAAAATATTGAAAACTGACGAATTTATGAACTGTCAGGAGTCATGTTGATTGTTGAACAACGTAAGTTCTTATTGGATGAAACCATATAGGTACTAGACATATAGAGGCCCTGTCTTCTACGCTGACGGTACAGGAACTCGTGAAGCAACCATGTAAAAAAAATTGGGAAGGTCCATTCAACATGCGCATGCGCGAGATTTAAAATATCGTTTTTAACCAATGACCTCGCGGTATTTGCCAACCAACATGGCCACTGAAAAATCGTCAATAAGTTTGGAAGCGACATTTTTGCGGCAGTATTTTGTCAAAATATGCCTAGATCTCGTTAAACGTTCTCGGAAAACGAGTTACGTGTGTGAAAATCGCACTTTAGAAAGAAAGAAAATATCAATGCCACATCAATTTTTACGGTAGTATGATCACTATATTGTCGAATAGCTATATGGATGACACCATATACCTACTAGAGATATAGAGGAGCTGACCATGCCAAAAAAAACGTGGTCCATGCAACATGCGCATGCGCGAGATTTAACCATTGACCTTGCCGCAATTTATGATTAAAATGACGGCTGACAGATCATGAATAAGTTTGGATGCGTCAATTTTAAGGCAGTATTTTTCCAAAATACCCTAGATCTTGTTAAACGTTCTCGGAAAACGAGTTAAGTGTGTGAAAATCGCTGTTTAGAAAGAAAATGGCTGAAAATACAGGTTAGTGGGTGAAATTCGGTGGCATGTGCGGAAAATCGTTTCCTTCTCTATGAAATAGTCGGTCCACTATATATTATGTAATAGCTATATCAATACCCTTCAACATTTTTTGTTTTGGTTTTATCAGAAGGGCAAGGCCTCTATATACCTAAAAGGTATATTGAGGGGAAGGTGACTGAGAATCCAGGATATTAGACCAGAAATTAAAGTATTTTGACTTACCTGAGATATGGTACGTCAGCGATGATATGGTACTTGGCTGCAGGATCAAAATCATCTTCCGATCGATCCTGGGGAGGTTCAATACCTTGGTACTTCTCGCGAAGCTCCCACCATTTGCAATTGTAGTCGTCCGACTTGGTTTTGCCAGAGAAAACGTCCCACCGCCAGAGATCCATTAAATATCCAAACGGCAGGAATGTGATTTTGCTCAGGCCCGTCTGAAATGCAAGAACTTAATCAGGAAGACAATTTGAAAAAATGAGGTTAATAGTACGTTGTATCAATTTAAAACTTGTTCTAATTTCGGTTTAGAATTTTTGCCGTAGATACTTTTTTGTTGCCAACTGAAAATTTTCGTTGGTGAGATTTGAAATTGGGGTTAGAAAAATTAAGTTTTAGGAAATTACGTTAAGGTAACTTAATTTCTTTACATTTTGGAAGCTTTATTTTGATAGGACAATGAGTACAAAGTGAGGTTACCTTTTTTTCGGTTAGTGACATTTAGTAAAGTTATTTTTTACAGGTTGATCACTACGACCCTATTTTTATTTGTGGAAAATCTTAAGGGTATAAATAAATGAAATTCTAGCAAACTTTAGGCGTTGTATAGATAATGTCTTGATAATTTACTACTTACTCTGAATAAGTTGTTCAACACTTGTTTGGGATCGTCTTTCTCTGTGTGGAGAAGTCCAATTTTCCTGAGATGTTTGGTGGACTGAACCGAGAGGGAAATTAAGTCGCCGATAGCTTCGTGAAAACCTGAACGAAATAAAATTTCGCCTACACAGTGAAACAGTGTTTTCTTGTATTACCATCGTTAGCCCCCGCTCTGAACTTTATAGGTTGGTCCTTGTACTGAATGAAATACTCGATGTGGCCCATCTCGTGGTGGACCGTGATGAAATGTTCTCCCGTTATTTTCGTGCACTGTTTAATTCTGTAGGATGAGGGACGATTTAAGGAGAATTTCATAATCTGGTTGACAGATATAGTACCTAAAATCTTTTTTGTCGTAAAAATCCCAGGCGGACGCGTGGCAGACGATCTCTCTATCGTCCGGTTTTTCAAAAATCGAATTCTCCCAAAACGTTGGGGGCATTTCAGTCAGATTTATCGACCTGAAGAAATTCTCCGCGGTTTGGAATATTTTAATGGCCGTGTAATTCTGAAAACATAAGCGTTACTTGAACCATAATCTTTAAGAGGATAAGATCTTTAAAACGAGAAGCAGGCAATGGGAACTTGAAAAGATCATTTACGGTTTCAAAGAATCAAAATTAATGAAAAGAGATATAAATCGTTTAGGATTTCTATATTTGGATATGGCAAAATTACACCTCTATATGTCACACATAAATAGTATATTATGCAACAAGTGCGGCAAACGGCATTTGACTCACGAGTTTATTTGACACGAGCGGAGCTAAAAACTCGCTCCGCTCGGAACTTTCTGGAAGTCCGCTAGAAAATCGGGCTGTCACTTTTTTAAGCCTACATTGTTGACACAAAACACTCATTAATCACATGCTATTTTGTAACAATAGACGTTCGGCGTGGTACAATCAGGTTTGCCAGAATTTGCAAGGAGAATTTGCAAGGTTAACATATTGCCTGCAATAATTTTAAATCTTGCTTGTACGCTTGACATGATGGTACTCTCTGTGACTACCAACATCAAACAAACGATCGGCCACTCAGCTAGTAAATTAATATTTCAGCTTGTATTTCGTAACGACGTTGACATTTAGGGGGATGGTAATGCAAAGGCAAGAACAATGCAAGTTTCCTTTGTTTGTATACACAAATTTTGATCAAACGAAATTTGATTTTCATCTCATGAAATACTTTTTTTATGGGATATTTAACTATTTGAAGTGGAAAAATATATTGATTAGTGCGTGTCGTACGGTTGAAAACTTTTCTGCTAAAACTAACAAACGTCGTATTTAAAAAAAAAAAACAAGAGGAGCTATCAAATAGTATTTTGAAATAGTACATTATGCAACAAGTGCGGTAAACGGCATTTGATTCACGAGTTTATTTGACACGAGAGGAGTGCAACGGAGCGAGCGTTTAATAAACGAGTTAAAAAGTTTACTGAACGTGTTGCATACTATACTTTTTGTACAACCGTTAGTTTTTGGGTACATTTTCGCAAAACAACACGAATACATTCACAGAATTAACAAACATCAAAATTCAAAGCGTGGGAAATATCTCCGAAAACATCCGATTGCTCCCAAATCCGTGCGGTAAAATCCCGGAAATGTCCGAAGTGGTTCGGATTCATGGGAAACGAAACTGACGCTTCCCGCACGCTAGATCGGTGGGTAATTTGGTATTTTACAGACGGGAAGTATTTTTAGAGTGGAGATACTTTTTTGAATACTTAATTAGTCTTGAGGAACCCCCAACAAATTTAATTAATTTAATATTATTCAAAAATTAACGGGATAATAATGAATGTCATTTTTTCATTTTCCATTGTTTTAAAAAAGTAGCTACATTAAACATCTATTTATAAACGGGGAATTTACATCTATTATGGGTTTTATGTTACCTGGTTAACAAGCTCTTGCGTCAAATCCTCATCTTTTACGTCTGGATGGGGCAGCATCAGCTCCGCCACGTTCGACCAAGACTGAGCCCACATGTTGCCCAAGAGATGGGCTGGAATCGGACCATTCTCCGTTACGATGTCGCCGTATTTTTGTCTGAGTTTGAAACGCACGTAGGCGTGAATCTGCAAGTAGAGCGGCCTCATCTGTTCCCAGAGCTCTTGAACCTGCTGCCTAAAATTGGGATCTTCGTAGTCGTGCAGCCAATAATGCGAGGTGTCGGTAAAATTGTTCAAGCGAGCGGCTTCGTTGGACAGCGCGACGTATTCCTTGTAGAGGGTCCGACATTTGGGACCCACTGCTCTCCTCCATTCCAACCACACATGTTTTAGCTCCTCCGGATCTCTGGAGTTCTCTAATATGGTCGTCAGTTCTGTAATGTTAGTGAATTAAATTTGGTCTAGACTCGGTTTGTTGAATTTGATTTCTGAGTCTGAACCAATTTGTTGCTTAAAATTGAAAACTTCAAGTGATTTTATAATTGTTTAGAAATAATTACGTCATTCAGTTAAGTGCCAAAATAACATACTGGCGCAACTGCTGCATACAGGGCGTTTGAAAAAACGATCCGCTTATTTTTAGGGTAGATAGAATATAAGTATAGATCAATAGAATATTAAAAAAACGTCATATTTGGTTAATAAAAAACAGAAGATATGATTCTATAAAAGGAACCGAAATGGTGGTTTTATTTTTTTTCCAAAAGGGTTCAAGATATCTAAATGAAATTTATAGACCCCAAATATGTTTGATTGAGACATAAAAGTTGTTTCTGGAACGAGTAATCATCATTTTCTGGGAGAGTTCATCTTTGCGCTTGAAAAAGAATTTACTAATTGGTAAAACCTCAATAACTCCTAACTTTGTACTTAACCGAGAGATTTTTATGCCAAGCTTTTTAAAAATGTCATTTTTCAGAAATGATTTTTTAATATTCTGTTTGTCCTAGAAAGAAGCGGAACGATTTTTGTAAATATAAATATAGCGTGGGTGCCAATCGAACTATAACTAGTTTAATATTAGCCGATACCTGGTTCAAGTCCTAATTTGCATTCTTTCTGATCCTGCACCCCCCTGGGGCAGATCTTCGCTTTGGAATAGATCGCCTCCATATCGCTGATGATCTGGTTCAAACGTTTAAATTTATCTTCGGGAAGGGCCGAGACGCCCAAAACCGAATACTTTAATAACTGCCTCCTCATGATGGGATCGGAGAATCTCGTCCAGTCGTACTGGATCACTTTTTGCCAGGCGTCTTTCTCCTTTTTGGCCACATCCGCCGCCACCGCTAACTGATTAAATTATTCAAAAAAAAATTAAATTATTACAAATTCCAAAAAGGGTTTTGATGTCGCGTCAATAGGTCCCTTGAACATATATTTTTTTATTAATTTAAAATGAGCAATTAGACTTTACAAGTACCCCCCCCCCCCCCACAACATTTTTTGTTAAGATGCGTGAAATATTAACGAAGTAATAAACAAATAAAATTGAAAATGTTTAAATTCTCGCCAAAACAGGGCGTTCATATTTCAGGCGATGGTGATGTCACAAGGTATATTTGTCAACTTTTGTTTTGATTTTTGACGGGTTGAAGAGTGGAGAGTACATTGTGAAAGTTTTTGATACGCTTTTCGTTTTTGATGTGGTTTCTCGGTATTGTATTGTGCCGGGTTCTAAAAGCACAACAACTTTTACACCTGGAAAGACTTTTATTAAATCACCCATGTACGATTACGTCATATTTAAGGGTGTCCGTGAACCTTTTTCAGGTAGATCATACCTTAATTAGACTGTTTGTTATTCTTTCTTACATTTCGGCAGTTCATTAAGTAGCTTTTGTGTAACAATTAAAATATGTGCAAGGAGTCTATTATTGGAATGCTAATAATTTCCACAATTATATAATTAATATATCATGTAAATTAATTCATTAATAATATGTTATATGTAAAACGTTCGTCTATCAAGATCAAAGGAGAGACATTTTTCTCTTACTTGATTCTTCAGATTTTCGTCCGTTAAATTTGAAGCGTAGGACCAACTCGCCAGAGCCAATCGGTTGTCATCTTTTTCGGTTTGCTCGTTGAGAAGGAGCAGGAAATTTCTCGCTTCCAGTTCTTCCTCTTCGATTCTCGAATCTTTCGCGCAAATCGCACAAAACAATGCCACGAAAACGCACACGTAGCCTAACATGTCTGAAAACTATACGAAAAGAGATAATTATGTTGCGGAACGTATTGCGGAAAATTTAATGTAGGAATGCGCACATTTTAGACGAAACGTCGGCGCTTTTCGAATTGTTTATCGCGATTCCAGTGCTTTATAAACAGCCGCGGGTGATGGACTCTGATTGACATAAAAAAATAATTCTCGGTTGACAGATTTTGCGGCATACCGAAATCATTTTGCGTAACGATCGGTGTTCTTGGTGTTGCAAAATTTTTAGGTCATTGCAACCGGTAAATAAACATCGCGGATTGAACGTCGAAGCTAATTCGCCGATGTAATTTAAAGTGGAATGAAAATTTTAAAGAATAACAAACTGGTAGACATTCGAAAAGAAAAATTAACTATTAATAATGAGCTTTACACTAGAGCTAAACTTGAATGGGCCCAGCGTGATAGATAAGTGAGGCAAATTTTACAATACTTAAAGACGGCTAGTAATAGGGATTCTTGTCTTTCTCTTGCTTATTTATATAAATAAGACAATGGAGTGTTCAAGTTTTTGATTACTTTAGTTATCTATGGTTCTTACTGAAAGTACATATTTTATTCGATAATCAAACATTTTCTTTAAATATTTGTAAAAAAATAAAATTTTGAGCGCTATAACCCCCGACAGGGGCGCATACTTATTATATTATTAATTTTAAATATTCAAATTTTGTCTAACATTTGAAAAAAAATGGTAATTAGAAAATATCGGCATGTATTTTTCAGGAGTATTATTAAAAATAGTATATTATGCAACAAGTGCGGTAAACGGCATTTGACTCACGAGTTTATTTGTCACGAGCGGAGCGAGTGTTTAATAAACGAGCAAGATCGGTGGGTAATTAGGTATTTTACAGACGGGAGTAGAAAAATACATATAATGCACGTCATTTTAACTAATTTTTTGTTTCAAATTTTTGTGACACCTAAGTCAATAGATGAGCATAAGAATAAAATTTTTGTGACACCTAAGCCAATAGATGAGCATAAGAAAAGCATCTGTTTAAAAATTAACGTAAGCTAGGCAAGCGACTTTTCATTATTTTTGGGTCAACCGGTTGGTGTTTCCAAAAAAAAAACATTTTAATTCAAGACAAGGCAAGTGTTATCGAATTAGTTTATAATAGGGCATCCCATTTGAGATTCCAAAGTGGCCAATGATATTTGGGTAGGATCTTGTCTCCTGTCTCCAAATATGACGTGTTTGATCAGTTTTTTTCATATATAACAAATTCTTTGACCAATAGAGTACGAAGGCGACTAAACTACAAACGAAAGTCCCAGTTTGACAACATTATCGTCACTAATTTTAATTTTAAATGATTTTTGCATAACTGAGTCAAAGTCCTCTGTCGTCCGCGGACGTGGCATTGCCCAAAGGAATTTTAATTGCTGCAATGCCTATGATTCACAAGGACGTCATTGCTGATAGCCGATAACTACCGGCCCATATTTTATAAAAATTTGAAGCGATAGACAAACAGACAACAGAAAAAGATTTTTCTGTGTATTTCACCGTGGAAAATTCATTCATCAAGCTCCCTTTCTCATATTTAATAACTTTCATATTGGAAAAAAATAATACCATGGCCGAAGCCATATTTTGAAACTTGAAGACCATTTAGTATACGGTCTACCCAAGTTTATTTGGTTAGTTTTGGTTAGTTATTTAGTTTGTCGTTATTTTATGTAACCAAAATTTGGGTAGATCTTAAAATTATATCATATAATAGAATAAAAAAGGTTATTTGACTGGATTAGGCTAAGCGAATTTGATTTAGAGAATAATAATAAAAGCTCTATAGTATAACAACTTTATTGGGCAAACACACAGTATGCTAAGTTACCATAGTTCGCTCAAAAAACGATTGTTGACAATTGTTAACTTTTGATAATGTGGCTACAATTGTAAATAGTAATTTTTTAACTTTTGATAATGTGTGCTATAATTGTAGGTAGTAATGTAATGTAATTAAAAATCTAGTCAAATGTAAATGTTAGGTTAGTATATTGCGAGAACCAAACGTCAATGTCTCCAACTCGTCAGTTCAATTTTGATGCGAAAACAGCGTTTATATAATTATAGAAACATGCAGTTTATTTGTATGTGCAATTAATAATTATTAATAATGTAATGTAATTGGTGATTGTAAATATTTATAATCAAATGAACAACAATAAATAAATAGTATTATTATTCTATTATTATTATTATTATTATTAATTTTAAATTTATGAAAAACACACCTGTGGCATTTAAATTTCTAACAATGGTACTTTTTAAAACGGATTTCATACTTTACACTATAGTCTCAAATTTGATTTGGTACAAGCAGAGCCTAGCGTGGCGAGTATTTAACAAATGAGTGATTGAAGAAGTCTATCGTGTTAGTTTTTACAAATAGCACAAATACGTTCACAGAGTGACTTGTGACGTGATCGTCAAGAAAGCGTAAACTTCCGAAGTATATCACGAAACTGGTTAACGAAGTCTTCTTAAAATTATACTTTGCGTACGTTTGATGCTTAATTGGGTCATTTTGGAGTAGGGAGAAGAAAAATTATTTAAAACCTTGGTTAGTTTAGAGTTTTTGGGGTCTCCATACATACATCACCAAAATAGCCCGCACCGTGCTGCATCTAATCTAAACAACTCTTAAAATAAATCATGTCCAATGAATTAATCATTAATTAATGGCTAATAGTGAGTGAGATATTGCTATAAAATTCAATTTCAATTTGAATTTATATTTTGTTTACGTTAGGTGCGTTAAAAAGATTCGATTTAACCTGACTTTTTGCTCGATCAAATAGCAGTATCATTTTTATCATTTATTTTTAAATATACCTCATCAAAAATTTCACGTTTAGTGAAACTTATCGCAAAACACCGAGCGGGAATGGTTTTTTAAACGACTGACGCTCCACCTACATCGAAAACTTGAACTGCTACGTACAAAAGCGGGGACAAACGCGTTGAAACACGATGTTATCGTGGTGTCTTCTTTTCCGGTTTAAGATTTATTTTTTATTTCAATCAAGGCAATAACTAATATTACTGACCCCAGTTTGCAAATTCCTGGTCCTCATGGATAATTTCTCGTTCGTCTCGTCTTTTTAACACCTTCTATAGTATTTGGATAAGTTTTGGTCGGTGCGCCATGAAACAGGTAATAAAATTCTTACGGCCGCGGATGCTGCAGCGGCAATAATAATTGCAGAGTGGGTTCGTGGTCGCTCACCGATCGAAATACGAACAAACAACGAAGACAAGATCGGTACAATAGCGTACAATAATTAATCCGTGACGTTTTATTTATATACTTACCTCGAACTGAGCAAAGAGCACGGCAAAACACTACACCAACATCCGACAGATTTTTCACCCGAGCTCACGCGTTTTGCGTTATTTTACAAAAATGAAATAGACCCGACAACCAACCGGTTAATATATAGGTGGCGGTGGCCATCGACCGCCGTATCGTACCTAAAAGACCATCATCGGGATTGTAAATTTCAATCCGCCCATATTTTATAACGCGACGTTAATAGTGGTTGCACGCTAATCTGCCGCTGCGGGCTCCGATTTCTGAGATATTCCGGGACGAAATTCGCGACCAGCGGCGTACGTTGGGAATTAATAGGGACGTTCTGCACCTCTTATGAAATTTCACCTTTATGTGACTTTGTCTTTAGCGAGATATAACTTAATTTTTTAAAAGATTATATCTGGATGCCGTAATTTAACAGAAACAATTGTGTTTATCGCAACGGGAAATGCGACAATAAATAAAAATCAGGTTTTTAGATCCATGGAGGTTTCTCAAGTAAGGTTCTCAATAAAATGTATAAAATTTCAGTGGCGTAGGAACCAAATGACTAATGAAACTAACGAAATAGGAATCTTTTTGTAAATAAAATACGATTTTAAACGTTGAACTTCTTCTTAAAGAAAAATATTAAATTTTATTTGGCAACAATATATTTTTTTAATGTTTAAGTAAAAACCGATATCGCATTTTATTTTACTGTTTAGTCTGGTCTTATTTAAAATATTTTTAAGTTCAGTCATTTTTTTAGGGCACCGAATTGATATCACCTGATCCTCCATCCAATTTTTGCAAAGTTATTAATTTTTTTTTCAACCATACGCCACTATGAAAGAAAAAAATTAAATTTCTGAGAATTTGAAGCCCTGGCAAAAATTTACATGCAAATTTAAAAGTTTCTCTTTAACTCCAAGCAATAAGTTCCGTGAATTTCTGGAAGACGCGAAATTTTTTAAAAAAATTCAACGCTTAAAAAGTACACGAAAAATTTTTTTTTTATTTTCTATATGTAACTGATACCTACATTTTAAGAACATATACATAACTAACTAAAAGCAACCAATGTCGCATACTAGTTTATACTAATAAAAATTAAAATTGAATAAACACGGCAATGTAAAATTAAATGTTGTAAAAGATGCTACCAAAAACGTATATTTTTTGAAAATCGTATATAAAAATGCTTTCTATGGGATCTATGAATTCTCCAGGTTCTATATTGCCACTATTGTCATTGCTTTCAATATAATATGGAACAATCAATAAAAAAACACTATTTTAGTCACGAGTTTGATTTGGCACGAGCGGAACGAGCTGTATCACGACTGGTAACTAATAAAACTTTCTCAGCGGTGGTTCTCAAACAGGCTATATCAATAAGAAAAAAGAAAGGAGGAGTATTATATTAAATACCACATATAACATAACTCCTGAACTACAGTTATAAAAATTAATTTTTCAAAGAAACTTCCACAGGCTACTGTAATACCATTTACAAATACTGTGGATTGCTCCTGCGTTGTTTGTTTAAAAATGGCGTTTCCGCAATTATATTGTTGACTTCTTCAGAGCTTGCGAGAGGAGGAGCTAAAAGAATGGCATGAACATGGTCTCGGAAGATTGTTTAGTGGTTTATAGATTTCTATGGATTCTTGGAGTTTTCTTTGGTAGAAGAATTGATTACATGCAGGAGTTTTGGTTTGGTTGAATAAGATTTGATGTCCGATTTCATGATTATGTTCGGCAACCGCTGATGAGTTTATTTGTGGTAGTCTTAATGCTCTTTCATGTTCTTGTGCCTAGTTGATAGTTTCTATCCTGTTTCCTGAACTTTGACTTTGACAGATGGAAGTTGTTGAGAGATTTTTGAAGAACTTTTGATATGTCAGTGATGTCAGTGGTGAGTGTGGGGTTGCCTCATTTTCCTGGTGAGGTTGCAGTGTATTTTGTGATGAAGCGCTTAGTCTCTCTAATGTGGATTATTAGAGAGAAGAGCAGATGTAAGGTGTTTTAATTAAGCTATAAGCTACAAGCTGATCACCTCTTATGGTGTCATGAGCATTATTCGAGTGTACGCACCAACAAACGATAAAACAGGTGACGTGGTTGAAGACTTCTAAGCCCATCTTGATGGGGCCATGAAATTAACAAAAACCGGTAAAATTACAGTGATTCTTGGAGATTTAATGCAAGGGTTGATGGCGACTTCGTTGAAAAATATGGTCTGAGAGAACGAAATACAAGAGGCGATCGACTGGTACAGTTTTGCTCCGAACAACGACTATGCATTGCCAACACTTTTTTCCAGCTCTACATGTAACGTTTATACACCTGGCGTTTACCCCTGTGAATTGCGACGTTCACATTATAAGAAAGTAAATAGATTTTTTCTGCTCCCGCCTGTAAAATACCTAATTACCCACCGATCTAGCGTGTGGAAAGCGTCACTTTACCACATCAGTTTCGTTTCCCACGGATTTGGGAGCAATCGGATATTTTCGGAGATATTTCCCACGCTTTGAATTTTGACGTTTTTGAATTTTGACCGTCATGTCGGTGAAATATTCGTGTTGTTTTGCGAAAATGCAAAAACTAGCAGTCGTAGAAAAAGTGTAGTATGCAACACGTTCGGTTAACTTTTTAACTCACTCGTTTATTAAAAACTCGCTCCGCTCGTGTTAAATAAATTCGTGAGTCAAATGCCGTTTACCGCACTTGTTGCATAATATACTATTATTCTCATTAGATACGAATATAAAAGGTTTATCAGTCAAAACCGATCTTAGAGCACACATCCAGAGCGACCACAACCCAATTGTCACTGATATTAGGATATACCGCTCTGTCAACTACAAACGGGTCCCACGACAAAAACGCAACACAACACAAAGTAGCCAAAAACTTGAGAACACGTTGATAGAACTAGAGAACTCCAAAAAGACTCAGAGAGATGGTGACATTGAGTCTTCAGAGACCCATGAGACCGATACTGGATGTGCAAATAACATAAAAAAAAGAGTGTATAACTGATGAAATTATAACATTGCACGAAGAGAACAGAAACACAAAAATGGAGTGAAATATGCCGAAAATATACTATTGGCTTTTTCGTGCGAAATGCAAGAAAGCCAAAGAATCGTAGCTGGCGGACAAATGCACGAAAATTAGAAACCCATCATCAGAAAGAAACACGGTGTCTTTAACTTACATAAAAATCTCAATGAGTTTACAGGTAGGCAGCAGGGGGGTTACAGAAGAGTATTAAGAGTTTCCAACAAGGCAATACTTGTAGGAGTAGATGAGAAACTAAAACGGTGGAAAGAATGGGCCGAAAATCTTTTTAATGGCATGACACCAGACTCGCCCCTAGGTCCAGACGAAATCAATGAAATAGGTCCTGAAATTACTAAAGAGATTAAATATGCAATTACGACAAGATATTCTTGCAGAACATTCATACACGTATATGCATAAAGCGCCTGGTTAACCGTTCGCAAAGAAGCTGGATGGGAACTCGAGAGGCTCTTTTGTTTGTGAATGTGCAGACTCAGCAGATGTAGAGACATGAATGCTGATGTATTTGCATTTTTTATTGAATATAAAAAAGTTTTTGACTGTGTGTCACATCAAAAAATGATCGTCATGCTAAAATTAATCGAGATGGACGCACAAAATTTAAAGAAAATAACCTGGACTGCAACAGTCAAGGTCGCAGGGTCCGCATCAGAATAAATAGCACAAGGATGTGTATTGTCTTCCCTGTCATTTAACCTCTAATCTGAAGTAATAGTCAACAAAGCTCTCGAGAACACAACTGCAGGCATTAAGGTCAATGGAAACATTATATGCAGATGGTACTGTGGTTATAGCCAGTAGTCTGCCAGAAGTTCAATTCTTCAATAATTGAGCAAGCGCGGAAAACTTTGAACAACATGAGGACACTTCTGGCAAACCGAAACCTCAGCCTGGAATTTCGGACCAGAATACTTCGCTGTTATATCTTTCCTGTTCATCTGTACAGATGCGAGAGTTGGAGCGTAGATGCGGCCACAGAAAAGAGAATTGATGCGTCCGAAATGTACACTTACAGACCAATGATGCGACCATCTTGGAAAGGGATACAAGAGAAGATCGAAGGAAAACGGTCGTAGACAAAATTCATGGCCGAAAGACTTGTGCAGATGGCTCGGAGAGACGTGTATTTTCAGAGCTGCAGGTTCTCGTGCAACAATAGCCATTTGGATCGCCAACCTTCGTAAGCAGACGATGTCGTAAGATAAACAAGAGATAGAGATAACCGATGATTTTTGGGCCTCATGGTGATGTGACAATGCATGTGTGCGTAGGTTTTCTGTAAACAGAATGATCCAATGTTAGGTCTGATTTTCTCTAGTATATATAAGACTATCTAAGAATTGGGGTGAAACGGGTGATATCTGATATCTTAGGGTGTATAGAGTTTAAAAGGCTAAGAAAATCTCGAAGGAATTCTCGATCATAACAAAAGTTTCAAAGTAGCGTTTCGGTTTTAGGAAGGTGTCGAGGGCTTTATTTTTGTTCATAAATTTGAGCGTTACAAGAAAAAGATGTTCTAGACAAGCAGTAATCAATTACGATGAGAAGGTTTGTTTCAGAATAATAAAATAATAGAACTCTTTGGTAATTAAATGAAAACGTTATTTAGTGTGGTAGCATTGGTTTAAACAAACAGCAGTTAGCCGACCAACGAAATGAAAGCCGACTTACTCCATTGCCCATGTCTGATCAGTCGTGCATAACTGGGTAATTTAGGGAGCGGAAAAATGCTATTTCAGTATTTATTTTAATTATTTTTTCCCAAAAAAAGGTGCATATCAAGCAAGGTAAACTGACAAAATTAAAAATCTACAGTTCAACTAAACAAACAATGATTTTATTGTCACGCAAAGTAAAATAAAACAACTAATAGCAACGCCCTGGGACTGGATTCGGGAATCTGATGCTCCGCTGCACGCTGCAAATTAACCGAAATCGTTATTACCGCAAATCGCGTTTGCGTCATATACTGACCCATTTTGGAAGATTCCCATCCGGTGGTTACATTATTTTTCGCGTTTTCCGTCGCGAGCCAGTCCTGCAACGGTTTAAAGTAATCGAGTATTCCGCTGGCGTCCATTTTTCTTTGGCCGGTGATGACTTCCATCGCGTCTGGCCACGGTCTCGAAGAGCCCATCGCCAGCATTTGCCTGAAAAGAGACCATGCCATTCGCCCATAAAACGAATAAAAATTCTTAATGGATGATCCATTGATTGATCCGATTACAAGATTATCGAAATTTCAAATTTTGAGGGAGGCGGGTGGTGATGGGTACTTCTCTTTGTCACACACGTTATTACCAATGGTAAAATGAGTAATAGGGGATTGTTTCATATTATTTTCCAGTTTTTATAATTGTTTGGCGTTTTTGAGGTTAGAGGGTACTTTGTGAAACAATTTAATGTGTGTACGTATCTTCAAAAATTTAAAATTAAATAATAAATATTTTTCTTGAAATAATAGATACTATTGAGTAAATGCACACTGACTAAAACGGTTAGAAAGGACTAGAATATTACAATTTTTTTAAATTTTTTCATTTTCGCAATTATATAAAAGAGCAAGGGAAAAACAAGGACCTCCATTATAAATTTGAACTATAAAACTTAGTGGTCTTCGCCGTTTTCCATGGGCGTAGTGTGTGACGACTATTAAGGGTCCCAATTGTGGCCTATCTATGCTCCACTGTTTAAAATTGGAATTATAATTACTGTTTGACAGTTATTGGCAAAGTTTGTTCTGAATTTGTTGCGGGTTAGTAAAACTGCGTTTTCTCAAAATGATGATGATGAAAATTATTATTCTCAAAGTGAACTAACCAAAACTGACCATTCGGAATTACAAAAATAGTTGAAATGTGTTCTAATATGAATGGAGTTGCAACAATATGCAGACTTGTGCATGAAAATAAACGCGGCCCCAGTAATTTACCAAAGAGAAGTACAGGAAGAAAAGAAACTGTAAGAAATCAGGAAAAAAAAAGATTGCATCAGAAGATTAATACATTTGTATTACTTAAAAATAGAAACCTACCTTGGGCACATCTGAAATGAAAAAAGAAGATTTTATTCCATCCATGGGTAAGAAAAAATTGTGGAAAACTTTGAATGAAATGCATTTTGGTACGTTACTAACCAAAACTCAAAATGGAAAATCACTTTTAATAGAGAAAGATAAAATCATTTGCTGGCGGAGGCGATATTTGAGAGCAGTTGGGCAGTTTCCCAGAGAAAACAGAAATATCTATTACATGGAAGAAACTTAGTCAAATGAAGGTAAAACATGGCACGATAAAAGCGGAAAAAAACGTGCAAGTTAAGCTTTTACAGAATGATAGTCCTCTGGAATAAACGCACCCTCGGGAAAAGATATTAAAAGATTAATAATTACTCACATTGGCAATAAAAATGGATTGGATATGAATAACATTTTTGAAGACTACTTCCATCCAATGCAGGATCATATTCCTCCTGGGTCTGTTATAGTCATGTCAGCTATTAAGAAAATGTACCCACGACTTCTTAGAAAAAGTCATCAAAAAAAATATTCCTCCCGTCTTCCGCCATATCACTGCCAATTAAGCCATACAGGGTCGACAAAGAACTCGAATCTTGTAATGTCATCGCGAGAGGGCGCCGCCAACCAGGCGAATTGCGGTTCGTGGGAGAGAGTAGTCGACGGATGTAAATAATATATGTTATACAAATTATATAGTAGTGTGGATTTATCTTTAGCTCTCAATGACGTTAATTCTTGTTTTGGATGAAATAAATTTTTAGTTCCTCATCATCGCATTTAACGAACCCAAAACGTTTTTAAAATACGTTTCGAGGAACCGTTATGAACTTATTCGTCTATATTTTTAGTTTCATTTTGTTTATTTAGATTCTAGAATGGAGTGAAAGCCTATTTGACTGTATTTGGCCCATTTTGACCGGTCACTTTGTTCGCTATTTTATTATCGCAAAATATTTTTTGATTTTGGCCGCCGGGTCTGGTTTTCGATATGACGTCATCGGTTAATAACCTAAATTTACTTCAAAACGTTTCCCGCGTTGGTGTTTTCGTAGATGTCGCATTCGTGGAGAGGTTTCTCGGCATTGTTCGGCTCGTATTCGCCCGCCTTCTCGCACAACGCCCTGTGAAACTGGAACTGGATTACGAAGCTGATAAAGTATCTGCAAAATTACTTGACGTTTAATAGAACCGCATCGCTGAGTCTTGCTCAGCACCTGAGATAAGGAACGTCGGCAACGATGTGATACTTAGCCGCCGGGTCGAAGTCATCTTCCGATCTAGTTTGAGGAGGTTCGATACCCTGGTATTCCTCGCGCAACTCCCACCACCTACAATTGTAGTTCTCCGGTTGAGTTTTGCCGGAAAACACGTCCCATCTCCAGAGGTCCATCAGGTAACCGAACGGCAGAAAAGCGATTTTACTCATACCGATCTATAAGCGAATGACGTTATTTTTAAACAGCGCTCGAATCGCTAGGTACTTTACTTTGAATAAACTGTTCAACACTTGATTGGGGTCGTCGGTTCCGCTTGGAAGCAATCCGATCTTCCTCAAGTGTTTGCTCGATTGAACCGACAGAGCTATCAAATCTCCAACTGCTTCGTGGAATCCTATAGACGAGGACATATTTTATGTTGGAAATTTAATTTGCAAGAAAGGAAATCTACCGTCATTGGCTCCACCGCGGTATGTAATGGGCTGGTCTTTGTACTGAAGGTAGTACTCAATGTGACCCATCTCATGGTGAGCTGTGGTGAAGTGAGCGCTGGTGATTTCGGTGCACTGTTTGATTCTAGAAACAGAAGCAAAGGAACCACTGACTTCAATTCAGGATTGTGATTTTGTTTGCAGGTTATAGACAATGATAAGTGTTGAAGAAACACGATGTTTTGGATAATCAACTAGCACAATGCTCACCTGAAGGCGACTGGGGGTGCTGGACCAATTGAAACTTTGTGAAAATTAATAATAAAGACAATGAAAGTCCAAAATATCTCGTTTCATCAATATTTACTTAGTTTAAACTAATCTGTTCTTGTCAATTCTTCCCAATTTTTCCGAACCAAGGGCTTGTTCTGAGGCAATCATCTTTTAGAATTCTGTTTTCATTTTAACAGATTTACTTATTTTATTATTGTCAATTTTTTAGAAGAGTCAGTTAAGGAATTTTAAAATCTTCCTCTCTGGATAGAATGAATGTTACCTATGTATGTATGTTACCTATATATGTACCTACCTATGTATAAATCGCTAAATAAGGAATATAAACAAAAAATTCAACAAACCAAAAAAGCTGCTTTTGATGGCTTTATCGAAAAATCAACCAATAAAAACAAAGATGTCTGGAAAATCGTTAACTATGAAAGAAATTGTCTTGGGAGATGTGATAAAGAATCTGATTTATCAGCAAACGATCTTAACAGGTTTTTTAGTTCTGTCTCGAGTAATATTATAAAGATCTTAACGGTGAATCACAATGTACAGAGTGCATGTGTTGAAGGGATTCCACTGGAAGAAACTACTTTTTTTTGCATCCGATAACTTGTGAGGATACGTACCGAGCCATACTAAGATTAAAAAAATCTTATTCTAGCGATGCTTATGATATCAATAGTGTCTTGGTGAAGGGACTGGTTGAGTACATTACACTGCCATTATTTAATAAATGTATTGATACAGGTGTATTTCCGTCGCTGTTTAAGATTTCGAGAGTAGTTCCAATCCATAAGGCAGCTGATATAAATGATGCTAACAACTACAGGCCGATTTCAATCGTGCCTTTGTTCGGAAAAGTTTTTGAGATCTTACTAAAAGATCAGCTAACTTCTTATATTAATAAGATGGAATGTCTTTGTGCTGGTCAGTTTGGATTTAGGGGAGGGTGTTCGACGATCCAAGCATTGTCTAAAGTTGTGAGTGGGATAGTTAGGGGCCTCGAGGGGGGTGAATTAGTTGGTTTGACTTTTGAGTGGCCTTCGACTGTGTTTCTCACCAGCTTCTTATTAAAAAGCTATACAGACATGGTATACGAGGTCTGCCTTTAGATCTTATAGCGTACTACTTGCAGGGCCGACAGCAGTTTGTAAGTAGTAAGCGGGGTGCCCCAGGGTTCCGTCCTGGGCCCGCTACTGTTTACAATCTACATAAATGACCTTTATCATTTCTTGGCCCCCAATCAGTGCGTGATGTTTGCCGACGATACATCCTTCACTACATCTGCTAAGAGTATCGAGGAGTTGTCCGTTAGGGTTGGCATGTTGGAGGACAGGGCTAATGTTTGGTTCGAAAATAATTATCTTAAATTAAATTTAGACAAGACCCAGAGTATTGTGTTTTCCTCCAATTGCTTGGTAAATAGTGGACAGTCCGTCAAGTTGCTTGGCATTAGGATCGATGATAGTCTAAATTGGAAACAACATATCTCAGACCTGAAAAATAAATTGTCCAGCAACATATTCTTTCTTCGACGACTGAGAGGCCTGATAGGAACAAGGACTCTGCTTATGGTCTATTTTTCTTTGTTGCATTCACACTTATGCTATGGCACGGTACTGTGGGGTGATTCCTCAGCTGCTGTGGAGAGTTTTAGAATGCAGAAAAGGGCCATTCGAGTCGTTGCTAATATACGATATAGGGACCATTGTCAACCTTATTTTAAAAAATTCAAAGTGATGCCCCTTCCTTGCATCTATATCTACTACCAGTTATTAGAGATACAGAGAACGAAAGGAAACTTGCCATGCCTATTCAACTCGTTCGGGGGATCTCCTTAGACGGCCTAGGTTTAGACTGAGGAAGTCTGAGAACAACTCATTGAACCTGAAATTGTATAATGTTTTGCCAGGTACCGTGAAAAAGATGAGCAATAGAAAATTTAAACATACTATTAAAGAATTGGGGGTGTAGGGGTTGCGCTGAGGGGTAGTACCTTTTGTCAAGGACGGTGGCACCTAACGATGTACTGATAGGTGGTCGGCGATAACTGGTCCTCCAGGGCACCCAATTCTCACTTATGGCTCCACGTGCCACACCCTGGTAACCGCATCCACCTGCGGGCCAAACTAAGTGAGGATAGCTAGATATAGCGAACAGCGTCGGATCTCCATGTTAGGGGCGGCTGGATAAAGGGCACCCTATTGCCCAGGGGTAGCGATACCACAAAGGCGGATGAACCATAAACAAAGGGTCAACGACATTGGATGCGAAAGGCAAGAGGGAAACCATCGCATTAACTTCCCAAGCAAACCATTATGGCAGGCAAAATACAAACCATGGCCCCCAGTCCCTGCACGACCTTAAGTGGTCAGGGGGTGCTAAGAATCACAGGGAGAAAAATTAGAATAGCAACCTGGAATGTCAAAACCTTATACAGAGCAGGCAGGTTGGCGAATGCCGAAGCGGAAATGAGCAGGATGAGTTGGGATATACTGGGCATGAGCGAGGTCAGATGGAAGGACGTGGGACACGTCAGCACAGAGTGCGGCAATGGCTTTTACTATTCAGGAGGAAAAAATGCACAGAATGGCGTGGGCGTCTTAATTAACAGAACTATGACCAACTACGTAAAAAGCTTTCTGCCAATCAGTGATAGAGTAATGTTAATCAAATTGAATGGCCAACCGTTCGACGTCAATTTGGTGCAAGTATATGCACCCACCTTAGACAGCTCTGAGGAAGACCTGGAAAACTTCTACAACGACATTGAATCTGTAAAAAAGCATATAAAGAGCAACGATGTCAGCATGTACCTCGGCGACTGGAATGCGAAGGTCGGGGATGAAACAGCAGAAGACATAGTGGGCCCATACGGCCTTGGTACCAAAAACGACAGAGGCGCGCGCTTTGTTCAGTTCTGTCAAGAAAACAACTTAATAGTGACGAACACTTGGTTCAAGCTGCCCAAACGACGCCTGTACACCTGGAAATCCCCACAGGACCAGGAAGAGAAAATTGTCAGGAACCAAATAGACTATATCACCATCAATAGAAGATTTCGTAACAGCATCCTGAACACTAAAACCTACCCAGGATGCGACATAAGTTCCGACCACAACCCGGTAGTCACCACTTTGAGAATAAAACTTAAAAAGATCAAGAAAACAAAACCATCAAATAGAATAGCCTGGAGATCCGCTGAGGAAAATAAAAAGGATATATATAAGAGACACGTGGATACATTATTGGAGTAGAACCAAATAGCTAATGCCAGAAGCGAAGCAACCCAAGACAGTGTGGAAAATGTGTGGCGGACTTTCAGGGACACGGTCGTGGAAGCAGGGATGCAGGAGATAGGCGGGGAGGGCAGGGAGCCAAAAAAACCTCGGATGACAAAGGATATTCTGGATCTAATGGACAAGAGACGTCAAGCACGAAACAGGGACGAATGGAAATACAAACAGATTGACAGAGAGATAGGTAGAAAAATCATCGACGCCAAAGAAAACTGGCTACAGAGGAGGTGCGACGAAGTAGAAGAGTTACAAACACAGCACAGAGATAGAGAACTGCACAGAAAGATCAAAGAAATGGCGGGTCTGTGGAAACCCAAACACATATCTCTAATAAGCGATAACAACAACGAACTAGAACTCGACCCCGAAAAGCAAAAACTGATATGGCAAAACTACCTGAGGGAATTGTTTGGAAATGAACAGAGAAGAGAAGAACCTCCCCAAATCCAGAAGGGGGACAAACTACCCATACTAAAAGAGGAAGTCCTACAGGCTATCAGGGACACAAAAAGCAATAAGGCACCAGGCGACGACCAGACGACGACAGAACATTTTAAGTATATAAGTGACAACGCCATCACAACATTAACCCGGCTTTTCAATGAAATATATGAAAATGGAATATTGCCTCAAGACTGGCTAACATCGACCTACATAGCATTACCCAAAAAAAGCAAAGCCCGAAAGTGCGAAGATCACAGAACAATCTGCCTGATGAGCCATGCAGCAAAAATCTTCATGCGAATAATATTCAACAGAATCTATAACAAATGTGAAGAATATCTGAGCCGATCGCAGTACGGGTTTAGGAAACGCACAGGCACAAGGGAAGCTACTCTGGGATTAACTCTAATAGCAGAGAGGTACATGGAAGTCCAAAGGAAACTCTATGTGTGCTACGTCGATTACAAAAAGGCCTTCGACCGTATAAAGCATGAGGAATTAATACGAATCCTGATGGAAATAGGACTGGATGGTAGAGATATAATCATCATCCGCAACATGTACTGGGACCATAAGGGCTGCGTACGAACGGAGACTGGAAACACCGAATACGTAAATATAGAAAGAGGGGTAAGACAAGGATGCATACTGTCCCCACTCCTATTCAACGTGTACGCGGAGTCTATAATGAAAGCATCATTACAGACCTGCCCCGAAGGAGCTAAAATAAACTGCAACTGCAAACTTTGATGAGCACCCTAAATGAAGAAAGCTCAAGAATTTGCCTGGAAATCAATACCGCTAAGACCAAGACCATGGTATTTGACAGATCCTCACAGGGGCACATAACCAACATTATGATAAATGGTCTCAGACTTCAAACGGTGCAACACTACATCTACCTGGGCAGAGAAGTCAACAACCAACTGGACCACTCAAAAGAAATAAGAAGAAGAATAGAAATCGCCAGAACTGGATTTCTAAATATGCGTAAAGTGCTATGTCATCCGAGACTATCAATAACTCTCAGACTAAGAGCACTTAAATGCTACGTATGGGCTCTATTGCTTTATGGCTGTGAGACATGGACACTTAAGCAAGACGACATCAAGAAACTCAACGCATTCGAGATGTGGTTTTATCGACGTATGCTTCGGGTCAGTTGGACAAGCCACACAACTAACGAGACGGTGCTACGTAAAATGAACACACGAGCACACTTGTACACGCTCCTTAAAATACGTAAAACCGCTTACCTCGGACACATCATGCGCCACCAAGAGCACGAACAGCTTCAGCTGATATTGGAAGGGAAGATAGAGGGTAGACGGAACATAGGCCGAAAGAAGAAATCATGGCTGAGAAATATCCGGGACTGGACCCACACAGATGGAAATGCCCTCATACATCAAGCCCAGAACACAGAAATGTATGCCACAATGGTCGCCAACCTCAGCAGAGACGGCACTTAGGAGGAGGAGGATTAAAGAATTGCTACAACGTCATTGTTTTTACTCCCTGCGAACATACATTGACACTGTCACTGGTATCGATGCGCTATAAAACTAGTACCGTCTAATTTTGTTTGTATTAGATGTGTGTTTCTATGTTATTTATTAATTTGATTTTATTGCACTTGAATATCACTTCTGACTTGCTACAATTGTACGTCCCTTTTGTACGAAACGTAGTCAATAAATGAATCTATCTATATCTTGACAAAAAGTCAAAAAAAAAATCAAAAATTGGAGATCAGGTTATCTGGAATATATTACACAATTACCGAAGACCCGACGCAACTGGATTGCAGATCATTATAGTACTTTATAGTCATTATAGTACTTATTATAGTTTAGGTTTGCTTTAGTTTACTGCCCTAGAATATTTTTTCTTTTTGTGTCAGAAAACTTGGTTTCCTGAAGAATCTTACTCTCGTCATTACTGAATAAATGAAACAAAAAAAAGGACTAAAGATTTAAAATTGCAAATCATATTTGTAATTGTATGTAATTTGTATTTATTGATTGAAAATGGTTATAACAAATGAGAGTGGCAAAAACAAAAATCGTAGTAAATGTTTTTATAAATACCACCACTTGTATCCTTGAGGTGAGTAATGTCTTGCTATTGTCAAAAGGTTTCGATCAACTAATTAGTGTTTTTCCTTATCTCCGATCAAGATAATGAATAATTTGCGTTGCTCTTAGAATTATTACATGTATCCTTATGATAGGAATTGGTTATCCATTTGGCCATTTCCATGGTTCAAAGGCGTTTTATTTGAGATCAAGATATCTTTTTCATACAAAACAAAAACTACTTCACCTGAAGTCTCCACCATCGGAGAAATCCCAAGCTGACGCGTGGCATACCAGATCCCTATCGCTCGGCCTTTCCAGAATAGAATTTGTCCAAAATGAAGCAGGCATTTCCGTCAAATTTATAGATTTAAAGAAACTCTCGGCGGTCTCGAATATTTTGATGGCAGTATAATTCTAAAAAATTAATTGCTTCACTTTACAACGTTAGAGAGCAATTTTAATCCAGCTGAATTAGAGTTTAATAGAGGTGATTTTCGTAAAAACTGCCATCTGGTATCAGACTCGATAGTAAAGGACAGGAATAAATTGATATCCAATTTTTATTTTTATTTTTTTTGTTTTTTTCAATATGGACAATTACTTCTTTATTAAGAAGAAAGTTGGGAAAACAGTTTTTTTTTTTTTGCTTTTAGCTGAAATTGTGGGGACCAGTTATGGCAAAACCTTGCTCCGTCATAAAAAAGCCCTGAAAATTTGCAGTAAAAATATTCAATATCAAAGTTCAAGGATTATTTTAGTAAATCAAAATAGAAAATTATTCAAAGCTACTGTTCATTTATTAGCTACCACCAGAATAACTCATCGGAGAGTGATTCGATCAAAACACCCATAACTGGACACGACAACTGATATTTTTTGAAGAATTAAAAAACGAACTTGGATACGATCAATGGAAGCCGAGTTTTTTTTTTTTCAAAAATCACTGTAGCTTTGTTTATGGGCATTCAGAAATTATTTTGACGGGAATGCATCGCGATTTTCTTGAAATCGCGATGCATGGAAATAGTTTAAAGACGCAGTTGTTTCGAGAGTCGGACTGAGTGAAGGAGTCATCCCCAGTTAGTTAAGCCGCGTTTTCTTCTTTCAATCACGACGTAGAAATTTTAAAACAATCTATTGATTATCAAGAAAAAAAATCAATCTGCCATCTGCTATTAAAGCTTCTTCTCTATTAGAATCTGGGAAAAAATCCGTCACCTCTCACGTCTCTAAAATTGTTCGTTCCTACCGACTGCATAATCTTCAAACCTATTGTTAGCACCATTGCAGCTTCTATATTAAAACCCTTTGTAGGGATAACTGATAGATTCGAAGTTAATCCCTCTTACTTCATTAAACAATTAAAAAGTATTCTGGATATTCTGGTTAGTTTCAACGTTGAATCCGTCTTTACTAAAGTCCCTATTCCTGAAACTCTCAACATTATCTCAGATATATTGAAATCGGAGAACCTGAAATCATATCTTTTCATCCCGATTGAAAAATGCATGCCTGGGATATATTTTTCTTGTAACGGTCAAATTTACGAACAAATATCAACAACATGTCATCGCAAATATATTAATGGAAGCTCCACGATTTTCTTAGTGATTTGAACTCTTATTACATTACATATTCCTGTTGTTTACGGAGCTCAATCTGAATCACTGAATCCATCATCTCTTCTCGGATAATTTTCACATTCAAAAATTAATGACTACATATTAAAAGTTCTTATGAAATATAATGTTAAAACCAAATTTACCAGTTGTCCACAATTATCTCAACATGTTCGACCTATCAAAAATAACTATCCGTTTGAGATACCAGGAGCTTAGAGCAATCCTTGCAATGCATGAACCTATAGCTTCAACTATAAATCGAAACCCTAATTGGTAATTAAAAAAGTAGTTTTGGTTAGTTTTCGCTAACCTTCAAAATGGATACCAATTCATCCCAGCATTGTCCAAAAATTTAATTTCGAGTTTGTTACCGGGGGCAATTACAAGTGCCCCAAATGCTAATTCGGCTGTATTAATTATAAAAATCGCACTTGGTTCACGAGCTCAGCGGTGATATCTACGTCATTGACGTTCGGATAAGGGAGCATGGTGTCGGCGATATTTTCCCAGGTCTGCGCCCACATGTTTCCCAAAAGGTGCGCGGGTATCGGTCCATTTTCCGAAACTACCTCGCCGTAAAGTTTCCTAAGATTGAATCGCACGTAAGCGTGCAACTCCAAATACAAGGGTCTCAGTTGCTCCCACAAGTCTTGCACTTGTTGCTTGAAGCTGTCGTCTTCGTAGTCCTCAAGCCAGTAGTCCGAGGTGTCTTTGAAATTGTTCAAAACGGCCGCTTCGTTCGATAGGTCCACGTATTCTTCGTAGAGGTCGCGGCATTTGGGACCGACGGCGTTCCGCCATTCCAGCCACACATGTTTTAACTCTTCGGCGTCCCGAGAAATGGCTAAAATATTCGTCAACTCTGGAAAAATAAATCAATTATTGAAATTGAAAACTCAACACCTCTCGCTTGAAAACGCGCAGCACTATTGTCAAATATACGTTGCCAATCAGTGCGTCAGAAATTCCGACGCCAAATGTCATTGTAACGTTTGTAGATAGAATTTTTTTCTTTAAAAGTTCAGTTTTAATATGTACCTATGCGAATAAATGGTTATTGTGTGCTTATCATAAAATTGTTAGGTAACTTCTTACGATGCCTTTCCATCATGGCACATAAAAAAAAGTGTGCATCAACAGCCAACTTATGCGAAGGAGACAGTGACTTCTCCTTGTTGTTATTATTGTTGTTAATCTTGTTATTATTATTGTATTACAACATTCTTCAACATTAAGCAAAATATCCTCGCATTTTATGACTATAGTTTGTAAAATTTACATTTAAAGACACAGAACTCGGTTTCTTCCTTCAAAACAATTTAAGAGAACATTCTGGGAATAAAATTGACTTGAATATGAGTTGCGTACTTTCCATAGAAATAGCCCCACATTCTCTATTCTATCGCGTTCAAGACTAAATGTCCAGAATGGATCAATGTCGTCCATGCCCTCCTTTTTAATTTTTATACCTCAAAATTGTCACAACTTTTTAATTATTGCAAAACTTGCGAGATGGAAACAATATACAGCTCTTCTGTTAATTTGAACTTATGACGTTAAAGCAGGGTTGTATTAATATGAGCAAAGATATAAAAGTAACAAATGAGCCATCATAGAACTTAAAAAAGTCGGTTGTACTATTCTTTTTCTTTAAATGTCACCATCGCCAATGATATTTCACATAGGATCCAGTGGTGTAATCCGTTTTATTCTGAAACCCACAAATTTTGATATACATACTAAACATGTGTATTTGTTAATGAACCACCCTGTAAGATATTTAATAGTTTTATTAAGCTTGTTATTAGCTTTCCAAAGCATATCATTATTTTTCATTATTTTTTCTACTCTCTTCTGTAAAATACCTAATTATACACCGATCTAACGTGTGGAAAGCGTCTCTTTAACATGTGAGTTTCTTGTCGCGCGGATCCGAGCCCCTTCGGACATTTCCGGGTTATTACCGCACGGGTTTGGGAGCAATCGGATGTTTTCGGAGATTTTACCGCACGGCTTGAATTTTGACGTTTGTCAATTCTGACGGTCATGTCAGTGAATGCATTAATGCTGTTTTGCAAAACTATACCCAAAAACTAACTTTTTAAGTCACTCGTTTATTAAACACTCGCCCACATTCTGACTCAAACGCCGTTAATTTTTTTTAATGGGTCATGAAAAATACAGTTTTTTTTTACAAAAATTACATAACTTATTACGAAAAGTGAGTTATCTATCAAAATAAACTTGGCTGTTTTCTTTCCTAAATTTACAAAAAAAAGTTATACAAACAATAAGTTTCTCTGAAATGCTCTTGTTTTGTCTACTGGGTGTCCCGATTTTGAACTATTACCAGCAATTTCGAAATTATTGTTATGAGATTACAATTGTTATTTACCCGGTTCTAAAGCCAAAGTGCATTTTTCGATATCGCTCTCTCCCAAGGGGCAAATCTTCGCCTTGGCGTAAATAGCTTCCATATCCCCGATGATCTCATTTCGTCTCGTAAATTTATCTTCAGAAAGTGCGGATACGCCCAAGACGGAATACTTTCGAAATTGCCTCTTCAGATCATAGTCCGTAAAATTCAACCAGTCGTATTGGATTAGTTTTTCCCACGATTCTTTTTTATTCTTCGCTACCTCAGCCGATACTGCCAACTGCCAAATTTAATAAGCAATCAGATCGAGACAGTAACTTAACATTTTCAATTCAATTTTTATATTTAGATTTTCGCTTTTATTTCCCTATATATAACTTATATAAGCGCCGGAAGTGAAGTGAAATGTAAAATTTTGCTGCTTTGAATGCTGGTGTATCAGCATTTATTATATAAAATAAAAAATATTTACCTATGCATTGTTGCCAAAGAAATGGCAACAAAAAGTTTAATTATTTGTTTTAAGGAAAACAACAATTGAAATTTGATAAAGCAATACTGGGGTGGAAACTGATCATTTGAAATAGAGCATAGTTAGAAACAGATAGTTAGAAACAGACTATAGGTATACCTCGTTATTCAAATTCTCGTCTGTGATGTTTGAAGAATACGCCCAACTAGCCAAAGCCGCTCTGTTTTGGTCTTTCTCGGTTTGTTCGTTAAGCTGGACCAGGAATTCTCTAGCTTTCGCTTCTTCCTCGTCGATGTTCGAATTTTGGGCGTGCACGACACTGAAGAATATCGTCGCCGGTAATAAGTAAAACACCAACATGTTTGAAATCTGAAAACTGCTCTGCAGCCTCAGCAGTTCAAACACCAAGTAACTAGGTTTAACTTTGGCGGGGAAAGTTCGGCCCATCCATCAAACAATGATATCGTATTTACATCAGAACTAATCTTCTAAATCCGATTTATGGCGTCTGTTGAGGCTTTTCTGATATCTTTATGATTGCTAAGGTGAAATCGAGATATGCTATAATGTTATTTGATTATTAAGTAGGACAACCAGTTTTAGTATTATAGAGAATTTATTTAACAACAATAACAACAGTTTACCTGTCAAGTAAACTAAAAGCATAAAATATTGTGTATTATGCAACAAGTGTGGTAAGCAGCATTTGAGTCACGAGCGGACCGAGTGTTTAAAAAACGAGTGACTTAAAAAGTTTACCGAACGTGTTGCATACTATACTTTATCTACGACCGTTAGTCTTTGCGTCCATTTTTGCAAAACAACAAGAATACATCCACTGACATGACCCGAAGTGGGTCGGATCCGTGGGAAACGAAACTGACGTGGCAAAATGACACATTACGCACTCTATATCGGTGTATAATTAGGTATTTTACAGAGGGGAGTAGAAAAAAAATCATTATGGAACCTAAATAAATATTTTCCTAATATTGTTGAACAACTCAACCCCTATCCCAAGTTTGCGTATATAATGTAACCAAATAAACAATAACAAATTAAACTGGACAATGATGGGGTGATTAAAAATATTATATTTAAATTAGCTACAGCTTATAAAACTGATAATTCACTTTTTGAAAAATTATTCTGTAGATGTTGTCAGAACACTTTTGGTCTCCATTCTCATTTTCATCAACAAATTTTTCTTGGAAGGTATCTTTAGTAATTATTATGAAGCACAAGTTTTGTAAAGTTTGAGATTGTCTTTGTTTTTTTACATTTTGATGAAAATAGCGAATTGAAAAATCAAAAACGAAAATTTTTATTTGAAAACCAGTGCAGACGCGATTTTAGCTTGACGTTTATAATATTTGTTGAATATATCACAATTCCCATACATCAAATCGTTCTATAGATTTAGTCATATCTAATCCATTTCGTGTCATACCAATAAATCATCGTAAACTCGAAAAAATGAAGCGTATTTTACCCAAATAGTCGTCCCTGGCGGTAGTAGGCGGGTCGAGTTTTGATTATAATTTTTGTAACCTTGTCGGTCGACACATTTCGATTGATGTAATTATACAAATGTCTGTGTGCACGTGTTTTGATTCGTTATTTTGTCGTTATATGTTACGGTTTTTCAAAATGAAGACTAGTCAGCGTTTTGCATTTGTTTTATTGCCTTTTTTTGACTCGACAAAACTGTTTTGCCGTTTACTCAAAATAGATTACGCAATTAAGTTTTTAGAAACAAAGCACACTCTTAAGTTTTTATTGAACCGTCCCCATCAAAGATTTGATATTTTTAATTTATTTAAAATGAAAACTTCTTATTTTAAACACCTTAGTAGTGCATTTTTGCATCGCTCTGTATAATGTGTCACAGCGTTAATATTTCATTGTAGAATTTAGTAGAGTTGGCAGCGCCATCTATTACGGCGTCTAATAATCGGAGTATTCGGCGTAGGAAACTTCCCTCTACATAATGGGGGTTCGATTGTTCGCCGTCAAAATTTCAGCCTTGAGCGCTTCGGTCCGTAGATTTCACCAAACGGAGAGCGTGTAGTGGGAGTGTTCGGACTTATTTCACCTAACCTTATATTTTAAATAACATTTTTTTTTACAAAAGGACGAAATAAAATTGAATTCCGTTTTTGCGATGGCGCGGTCTCCGTCGTGTCGCTACGCCCGGAGTCGTTCGGAAACGTGCGGGTGTGATAATTCGTAATTACTTATGTTTATTTTTTTAAACAAAACGCACTTGTCAATAAATTGACGGCAATGTTTACCTGTGATATTTGATACGTAAAATCCGGGCGGCAAGATGAATTCTAGAGTGCCTTTGGCCCAATCTTTTATCAACAATTCGCTGGCGATTCGACAGGAAATTCAACGATTCGAGAGTGTCCATCCGTCGATATACGCGATTTACGATCTAATTGATCTGATACCCGATGGACTTGTTGCCCAACAAATTCGAGATCACGTAGTTTGCATAGAAGGTGAGTAATTTAAGATTTGTTGATTTTGTGCCTAACTTAATTTTAAACCGCCAAAATGTTTGGGGTAAAAATTAAATGGGTTGGTGTTAATTTAATTGCGTCGGGGGCTGTTTAAAGATCGAAAAATAGTTGGTCCACAAAGGTCGGGCAGGTAATGGCGTGCTAATGGATACCTTAAATGGCCTGGGTAGGTACCTGTTTCTTTTGATTTGATCCCACAGATGATCCAAACGTGTTTGAGTTGCTTCATTATACCCAGATTTTGCTTTTTAAACTTTAAATCTGGGAAACCTTTTAAAGTTAACGGTTTATTTAAAATGCGTGCTTTTAGGATGTTTATACAGTGCGTTTCAAGGAACGTGTGCAAACCAAATTCTTATTAACATTTGGATATTTCCTGAATTGACCTTATTTGATTTATTGTTTTTTGTACCTTCATCAAGGAAATTATTTTTTAATGCATGAAGACATTTTGTTGTTAAAAAAACCTGGGATATTTGGCAGACTAAATTAATGCAAACCCGATTGTGAACTTTATTCAGGACGCACTGGGATCGTCAAAGGGGTTAATTCGATCGAACTCCCGTTTGTCGCCTGCACATTTTTAATAGGAAGTTCCATAAAAACGAAAATGAAATTGAAAACGGGCAGGATGGATTTAACCGCAAACAGGATGAATGTGTATAACAGGAATCGATGAATATCTCTGTGCTCGCACAAGCGTGAAGCATATAGAATGAAAACATCAAAACGTAACCTAACACGTTTCGCTATTTTTATCATCCGCACACAATAAATAATTGCGGCAATGTTTATAATTCGAATTACGCAAGCTTTGTAATACACTTGTTACGTGTCGAACACTTTGTATAATTTAAAATCGAGTTTATGGTATATATTAACAGCGGTTCTAGGTACTGGGAGGAGAATCCTCTTCTATTAACATCGTACGTACTTTTGCTGCTAATGTATATGGGCGGGAATGTCGACATTTACATATTTTGTATTGCCCAAGTACTAAGGCAATGGTCAATGGTTAGATACGACTGCGGCGGATATTGTCAAAAATGTCTCAAGATTAACGCCGACTATAAGAAATATAGAAAAACATTATTATTGAAGAAATATTAAACGAAAAATAGTATAAAAGGTTATTTTGAAATAAGGCCTTGAGGACGATATTCTATCTATAGGTTCTATTATTTTTATATTCCTTTAAAGAACTTTCTTTTTGAAGAGGATAATGTAATAATAATTATTCGAGACTAACCTTTAATTGTCATGAGTTTCATCAAAATAGGGGTCACAAGATTAATTAAGACTAAAGCTTAATAGATTTTTTTGCAAAAGTTTTGGGTTTCTTTGAATTATACAGCGGATAATATTATTATTAAAATATATATCTTATTTTTTATCTATTAGTAAAAAAGTATATGGTACATATAAAGTTATTCAATAAAATTATATGATTACTGATTAATATCATCACAGAGTCGCCTGTATTAAAAAGTTAGCAGAGTAATAGTAACTCAAATGTATTATACATCGTATTGCGTTATAAGTGTCTGTGATATAACTAAACATTTTTGGACACCATGCACATCGTTGGACACTCCTCTGGTTTGCCTTTCATTAAAAATAGAACCACGCGGTTCGAATAGACAGATATATATGTAAAAAGAACGTTGCCTCGACGTTAACAACTGTTAATATGCGTTTTGCTACACCGTAGAATTTAAAAATAATTTGAAATCAGAAACAACCCGTCCCTGACGTTGCACAACCCTCTTAAGCATTTTCTTAAGTTTCCTCTATCGATATCGCCGCTCAGAGCGATTAATCATCGCTAGCGCTACCTTAATTAGAAAAACCATGGCGATTTCAAATTTAAATCACGCTCATATTGCGTTTATATATTGCGATGCAACGCGGCGACAATTTTACGATTATCCCTATTAGGAGTGCACGATGATTCATCACGTAGCGTTGTCCTGAGTCCATCCTTTTCCGGCGTCACAACTTTTTAGGAGTGTAGGGGATAGTCATAAAGTAGCTCTATTCGTAAAAATCTGTAAATACACTCAGTAGAATAAATTTAACATTTTTAAAACGATCGTTCGACAAGAAATGAAAGCATGTGGAAGTATTTGGTGCACCTCTTGGTCGGCACCGAGGTGGAGACCAAAACTGAATAACGTGTGTTATTCGTATAAAATCACCGTTTTTTTCTGACAGACTCGCATACTTTCCCATTCAATAATAATAATTAATTAACATGTGAAATCCGCCGATATTTTTTTTTTCATTTTTAAATGAAGCGTTGTCAGAATATGTGGAGGTTAACACTAACAGTAAATAAAGATTTTTGTGTGTTAACACCACAAGTAAGACAGTATTTTAACATTTTGAAACCAAAAATAGAATTAAAAAAAAGACAAAGTCAAAATTATCAATTCTTTTGAACGGTGAATCGCAGAGAATAAAAACATATAAGTATAAAACGATCATCTTAGTGGTTTGTCGCCCTAGTTTTTAGCGTATTTGAATACGTCAGGAAAAAAAGTTTTAAATTAGATAACACCACCCGTTTTGCTGCGAAAAGTTGGGAAACAGGCGAAAATGTCCTGCGAAGATGAGTGAAAATGTCAGAGCCGCAGTTTTGACGGAGTTTTCGTCAATTTTTCTCGTAATTTAGACGATTTTCATCAAAAATTCTCATTTGGAGTTTGGGTTTGAGACAGAAGATGATGTGACAGATTTTAACGGAACGTCTATCAAAATCGACTATTAAAAACGAAGTTCCACTGAACTTTAAGTCAAATTGACATAGAATGACGACGCAATTGGCATGGGAGTAGCAATTTGTCACAAAAACTCGTTACTCGCTATCGAATGGTACCGGCTAATCGAATCATAACTTCTATATTAAAACCAATCGCATCCGAACGCAAAACCGACCACAGTTCGCGTTGTTATAACAATTTAAAGCAATTTGGTACGCCATAATCTGCATATAGAACAACAAACTCGTTTACTACCGTATAAAATTTTGCCGAAACCGTTAAACGGATTGATTGCGCGGACAATTTAAAATAAAAAACGAATAAACGCAATACCGTTATACGCGGTTTATTTATTGTTATCGTATCGAACGACACGAATGTTGAATTTAGCAAACGTCATCCATAGGCGTACGCGGGGTCACGTCGCGTCTGCTGCGGTGTCCTACCGTTATTTCAAAAGCTATATGCACTTTTGAAAAAAAAAGGTTTGAATGGAACAGTACATTTTTTTTATTTTCATATAATTTGCAGGACGCGACGCCTAAATTGACATAAATTAAGGCTACCAATTTTGACAAAAAAGTAACTAATTATGTGTTTATCGTAATTATTTAATTTAACCAGTATTTTTCCATTGAATGAAATGTTTGTGTCAATATATAAACAATATGTGGCAAAATTCGGATTCAGAAATATCATTTTTATTGAATTTTGTTATCTGCTGCAACAATAGTGTCAGGAGACTTATTTTTACTTGCCATATTAGCAATCGGAGAGACTCTTTGAACTGCTGATTAGTTATCTTAACAAAGATATCACCATTTTTATATTAATTGTGTTCATTTTTGAAATGACTAAATATTACCATCCATTGTTTTTATTATTTCATCAATTTATGTGGTCATCTGGTCCTTTCTGCTTACCGAATATCGAAAGGGGTAATGTAAATACGCGTTAAACATCCATTGATATATTCATCACATTTGTTCATGAGTTTAAAATTTCATGATTTTTAAATGTGAAGAAAATCATCGTATGTATATCTCACCAAAAAGCAGTATTACTATTTCATAGGATAACATTTATCCAATGGTATGAAACTATCACTTACAGTTGACATGTATCCCTAACAAGCAAAAAATATTTTATTAATTTTTCAAAAAAACTTCCACAGGCAGCTGTAATACTTTTTACAAAACTTCTGGATTCCTCCCTTGGCGGTTTTTGCTCTAGTCGAGTCGAACTTGCTGACATTTGGCCAATCATCCTGTTGGCTTCTTCAGACCTTGACTGAAACAACGGTTTCACTCAAGCTCTGAAGAAACCAACAGGATTGGCAAGTTCGACGCACGAGGAATCCAGAAGTTTTATAAAAAGTAAATATTTTATTTTTATTTTATTTTATAAACCCAAAGGCTAACCAACAGGCAGACAAGGCTACCCAATTACAGGACAGCGCATATTAAACATAAGATTACATAGTCGGAAATACTAAAGAAACTTAACTAGATATTTCCTAAACTAATAGACGGTAATTAAAATAATATCACAAAATTTTTTATACATTTCTTTTAAGTTCAATAACTCCGTTGATCTTCGTTGTTCAGAAAAACACAGTTATTGTACATACCAGTACATCTAATAAGCGGAGAATTTAAGAACTAGTTAGATCTGATTCTTTCTATAGAAAAAATTAGTTAGTTAGCCTAGTGTGCACTCGGTAAGGACTAGCATTAAAAGATAAGTGACTTGTACAAGAAAGTGACTCAATAAGACTATTATAAAGAAAAATTACGTCTGAACAATTTCTGCTTGTTTCAAGTATATAAAAATGTAGGTTATTTTCATACGAATAGTGGCGGTCTCTATTAAATCTAAAATTAAGGTTACTAATAAGCTTTTTTGGACACTCTCTATCCGATCGACAGACTTGCGATAGATCGGATTCCATACGGTGGATGGATTTGATGAGCCTATTATAAATTAGAATGACTGATTTGTGGTTGCGAAAACCTTTGGTGTTACATAAAACAAAACCAAGATTTCTCAAGTCCTTTACAATATTTTCTACATGTACTTCAAATGTTAACTCACGAGTCCAGTATGATGCCTAAATCTTTAACTTGAGTAACTCTCTTAAGTTTTATATTGTCTAATTTTAAGTCAATATTAATAGGTTATTTTTTCCTTGTAAACTTTATTATTTGGCATTTGTCG